GGCCATCAGCAGGGGCCCTACACCCTCATTTTTGCTCTTAAAAAGATGACTGGGTTGCTGTGTGGATTTAGGGACGGTGGGAGCAGGTAGTGCTCCTGGCAAAGGATATAGCAAGCCTAGAGGCCTGCAGTAGGAGGAAGGTGGTGCTTTCCAGAATTCATGCAAGCGTCTGTGTGTTGGAGCCCAGAGAGAGAAAGAGGGAGAGAGAGAGACAAAGAGGAATGAGAGAAAGTTGGAGAGGTCAGCAGCACCAAAGCTGCAGGGTTTTGAAAGGAGCTTTGGATTTTTTTTTTTTTTTTTTTTAAAGATTTTATTTATTTATTCATGAGAGACAGAGAGAGAGAGAGAAGCAGAGGGAGAAACAGGCTCCCAAGGAGCAGGGAGCCCGATGCGGGACTCGATCCCAGGACCCTGGGATCATGACCTGAGCCGAAGGCAGACGCCCAACCATCTGAGCCACCCAGGCGCCCCAGGAGCTTTGGATTTTTAAATTTGTCGTTACTTACAGCACTAAAAAGCACGATGATCCCATAAATTGTTAGGTCACATTGGTGAAAAGCAGAGCATGTTTTTAAGTTTAGAACAATAGAAAGAAGATCTGCTTATACACAAACGATCATATTAATGCCAAGTTGTTACAATTCCTCGTAACTGCTTGCAGTGTTTCCTATGGGAAATTTAAAATGAGGGCCTGATGAATGGCCACCACTGATGCTGATTAGTCCGAGGCTTTGCAACAGTACAACCCTAGGAAGTATTTTCGGTTTCCTTTCATTCTCCTAAGGATGCAGCTTGGAAACAGCCTTTGCCCCATGCTTCCTGTCTCGACCTGTTGGAGCTGTGTGTTGGAGTGAGGGTGGGAGTGTTGTGAAGTGAGCCTGAGGGGTTCTGCACACCTTGCTCCATTGTTTGAAGAGGGCTGCCTGCCTCTCGGATCTGTGTCTGGGGGCGTGTGGGTGGTGGCGGGTGGGTCAGCCTGTGTCGGACTGCCCGGCGGGCTTCTCTAAGAAGGTCAACTTGATGAATCTCATTCCTTTAGCTGTGCAGAGACCCCTGGCTGACAGACACCAGGATTTGGGGTGGGGGGAGCTGGAGTGAGGGCACCGGGACAGGGAAGGACAAAAGCTTGCAGAGATGTCCCTAGCTTGGGAAAGCACAGTACAAAGGAATAGTAAAATAAGACAATGGATGGGACCTGGCACCGGTGGAACTGGGTTCACTGAAAGAGAGGGAAAAAACTGCCCATCTTGATTCCGATGCCCTATAATGTTTTGGGTCTGTTCAGGGTCCCAGAGTGACTTGTTTCTGTTTTTTTCCGCTGCAGTGATAAGTGAACTCTGGGCCCCAGACCCATGCCTGTCCATGGTGAAATGAGGAAAAGTGGACAATGTGACGGGTGTTTGAGAAAGCCCAATATATTGATTAAATGTATACATATTTAATCTCTTGACAAAATAAAACATTGGCATCTCCCTTTTTTGAAATCATGCTGGTTCATGAAGTCCTGGGATCCAAGCGCCCAGTGCAGCCTCCCTGTCAGGTGGGAAGTGGTATTTATTAAATGAATGAAATAAATGTACATCTAAGTGACCAAGGACAGAAGAAGGAAGGGGAAAAAGGAGTAAGACTCGGTAAAGCAAAATCTATCAGTGAGGTACTTTGGAGAGAAAGGAGATTTGTAGGAGGGGTAAAGAACATATGTAACAAAATGAGAGAGGAATAGTTTGATACATTTGTTAGGTAAATAATTCATAATTTATAAGAAAAACATCACATCTAGTAGATAAATGGATAAAGCTCATGAACAGACCAGCATCACAAGTGAAATAAAATAGCAAACCAGGGGCGCCTGGCTGGCTCAGTCGGTAGAGCATGCGACTCTTGATCTCGGGGTTGTGGGTTCAAGCCCCATGTTGGGTGTAGAGATTACTTAAAAAAAAAAAACTTAAAAAAAATAGTAAACCAGCTTATGGCACTTTCAACCTTTCCTTCCTCCTCACTTACCCCCTCCCCTTATACTTCCTATTTCCTTTTACTGCTTTATGTATTTCTCCTTAACAAATCTCACTCTCCCAATATTCTCTCTGTATTACTTATCTTGTTTATTTTCTTTCCCCCTGGCTCACGTGAAAACTCCATGAGGGCTGGGACAGCGATTGGTTTTGTTTACCGCTATATCCCCAGTGCCTGGAACAGCACCTGGCACATACTAGATGCTCCATATGTATTTGTCGAGTGAATGGACCCTTGATAAATGCTTCCCAGGCAACCCAGGAAATGTCCAAGACTCCCGTCTTTATACTTCCATCACTCGTCTTTGTGTCAAGATTCCCTGATGGAAACTAGACAGCCTATTTATGAAATTTGGAAGGATAGCAAGTAGATTATAAAATAAAAATGAAAAGGAAGTTCTAGACATGAAATTGAACAAGGCTAAATATAAAAGAAGGAAAGTATAATAAACATTTTAAGAATTTCTTCCTGTTTGAAAATGTAGCCAAGGCTTATATTTAGGTCTATTAACCTAAATAAAGCATTGTATTACAAGTTACCAAGAAAGGTTGTTTTCTGGACTGAGCTGCTGTGGAGAAAATCATCCTTTCAAGGAATAGAGAAGAGACAGACTGCCAGATATTAGTATTTGTATTTTTAAGGCAGGTCCAGACATGTGGGGCACATGGAGTCCTTTCAGTGGTCAAAACACACCTAGGGATTTCCTGAAGTTCAAGAGAACATTCATTCATTTGTTCATTAAAAAAATACCAGATAGGGTGCCTGGGTGGCTCAGTTGGTTAAACATCTGCCTTCGGCTCAGGTCGTGATCCCGGGGTCCTGGGATCAAGCCCCGCATCAGGCTACCTGCTCATCGGGGAGCCTGCTTCTCCCTCTCCCTCTGCCCCTCCCCACCCTTTGTGCTCTCTCTCTTTCTCTCTCTCAAATAAATAAATAAAATATTAAAAAAAAAAAACAGCAACAACAAAAAACATCAGATACCCACTATGACCAAGCCACTGTGCCATTAGACAAGGGCCCCATTTCTCCTTTTTCTAAAGTATGACCATGTTTTCTGCCTGTTAGAAGAGCAGAGTCAAGTGCAAAGATTTGCCCTTGGACACAGCTTTATTTCAAATAGAAATTAAAAAAAAATTATTTTTGCCCCCATTTAAAAAATCAGTAGATGTCATACACAAAGCCAGATTTCTGTCTTCTTTGGAAATCTACGTGGAAGTGCTGACCACAGTGGGCAGCATCCGCACGTGGCTGTGGTGGGCTGCTTCCCCAAGAGCCCTTCTGGCAGAGTCCGCACTGCCCCCTGCATCCTCGCTCCCAGCATGGCAGTACCCTTCTGCAGACACGGTGCCCGGGCCCGTGGCAAGGCAGAAATCAGTCACAGTATAAAAAGGACCAGGCTCAAGCAGTATGAGGCCCATTTTATTGAGCCAATTGCAAGAATATTCTGGAATTTGAAATAAAAGGATTCGTTTTTCCCCCCAGCAATGAGCGTGAGTAATAATTAGTTTTAGGGTAGTTAGTCTAAATTCAGGAGATGACTTGAGAAAGATCATGTTTCAAATGCATCAGTGACAAAAGGGGTCATCCCATGCAAAAGGAACAAATTCTCTGCTCTCCTCCTTCTCCTCCAGGTGTGAATGTTCTGAAGAGTCAATATTTTTTTTTAAGATTTTATTTTATTATTTGACACAGAGAGAGAGAGAGAGCACAAGCAGGGGGAGAGGCAGAGGGAGAAGCAGGCTCCTGCTTAGCAAGGAGCCCGACGCAGGGCTCAATCCCAGGACCCTGGGATCATGACCTGAGCCGAAGGCTCTGCGCTTAACCGACTGAGCCACCCAGGCACCCCTCGTAGAGTCAATATTAAGCAAAGTGCAGTTCAGCTAAGTGCTGAGCTCGGTGCAGCTTGGAAACCTCAAAGTCCTGCAGGCAAGGCTGGGGAGTGTCCTCATGAAGTGCTCACATCATGCAGACCCAGGAGGCCCATACACTCCCGGACACATGGCCTAGGTGTCCCTCACTCCAGTCAGCACAACCATGGGCTTTCACAGAAACTCAGGTGGCAGAGGAGGGGGATTCAGCCGTGGGCGAGTTCCAGAGTGGAGCTGCTAGCTGCTGACCTCCCTAGCTGGAAGTGTCATGCCCCTCCATGGAAGGCTGCAGATTTAAAGGAAGAACACCGGTGTGGTTTGTTTGTTTTTTCCCCCAGAGTAGAGCCCGAAAGGAGAAAGGACAGATGGGGAGGGAGGTATTAAAAGCTAGATGATAACCAGGTTGTCTGTTTTTAAAATATTGCTCTGAATAAGTATTTCATGAGTTATCCTTATCAAGTTAACTATTATAAACTATAAACTCAGCAAAGAGTTTGTTCAGGGTGAAGAGAGGCACAATGAAAATGTCGTGATTGTTTGGAGACTGTCCTCAAAAGGCATCCAGAGTGGGAAAGGGCACTGGCACATGGTGCCATCCAGCTGGGTAACCTCTCAAGGGTCGTTGGCTGCTGGATTTAGCCCTTGTACGTGCCTAACGATGTACTCGGTGATTTCACAGCGCATGACAGCTGTGTGGCACATCTGTTCGGGATCCAAAAAGTTAGTTACACAAGCATTCATTGGGAAAGATTTGGCTTGGCACCAGTTCAGCAAAAAAGACCTGGAAGCCTGAATTGAGTGCAAACTTAGTATGCTGTAAGTTTAATGAAATGTTAAATTGCGTCCCTGGAATTATAGTATCCAGTTGTGTTGCAAGCTGAGCTATTCAAACCACCCTTGGAGTACTGTCATAAAGTCTGGCCATTTCAAGAAAGACATGGGAAATTAGAGTATGTTCCTTGGAGGACAGTCAAGAAGAATCTAGAAATCGTGACACAGGAAGTGGTTGAAAGACCTGGGGGTGATAGGTCTCCAGTGTAACCAGAAGGAGAGAAGGCTGAAGAGGAAAATGCGGTCACTGTCTTCAGACAGTTCAAAGGTTCGGCTACTCTCGTGCTTGTAAGACAGTATCTGAAATAGAATAAGTAAATGGAGAAGGGAGTAGGTGTGTGTGTGTGTTTTCCAGGGAAGAACAAGAACACATAGTAAAAATTACAGGGAGGGAGGCAGATTTAAAATTCCAAAAAAATTATAATTTATAAAAAAAATAATTTATAATAACCAGTGCTGTCAGTGGAGGGATTTGAGTAGGGCCTGAGAAGCCTGTGTGAGGGATTTCTAGAAGGAATGCCTCCATGCCCAGTGGTAACCAGATTCTTGAGACGCAGGGCTAAAATGGGAAGGGGAGGGCTTTGTGGTTGGACAGACCTAGGAGCAAATGATATGGTTGCCATTTAGCCGTGTGACTTGAGGCAACATATCCATGCTCTCTGAGGATTAGTTTCTTTATCCAGTCAATGGGGACAATAAAGCCCATGTTGAAGTGTTATTGTGAGAAGTAACCGAGCTGAGGCATGTGAAGTGCGAGAAATGGAGTGGGCTCTGGGGAGAAGCTAGTTCACTTTCCCCAGATTAGAGAGCGAGTTGTAGGAAGCGTGTGTGGTAAGAAAGTCGCGTAGGAAGCTCATGGGTTTACTTCATCATCTTTGCGCCTCCAGAGCCTGACACGGCCCGCACGGGACAGGGGCTCGGTGCGCGATGTTGGCCCATTTGTCGACTCTTTCTGTCAGTGCGCTGCGTGAATTGTGGCCCTCGGCAGTTCTAGAAACAGACTGTCCTTGAGGCCACGTGGCCAATGAAGACAGTGTGCCTGGTGGAAAGAAAGTGGGTTTTGGCATCAGACACAGGTTCAAACCCCAGCTCTCCACTGGGTCAAGTTACTTAACCTTTCTGAATGGCATTTTTCTCCTCTGAGGCAGTGCCTGTCCCCCTGTCTTGTGTGAGTGAAGTAGCAGATGTGAAGGACTGGATGTTCTTTTCTCAGTGAGATCCTCTCAACAATCCAGGGAGGCAGGGAATGCCTTCCACATTTATAAGAGAAAAGAAAAGAGATTCAGAGAGTTGCAGGGATTTGCCCAAGAAAATAGTAGAACTGGTATTTATTGGATCCGATTCTTTTAACCTCAAGGTTTATCATCTTTCTCTTCTCAGCTGTGACTGAAACATTTTTTGAGGGTCTGCCCTGCACCAGGAACGACGCTGAGTATTTCCACATGTTACCTCACTGGCTTTTAGGTCCCCCATGGAGATGTCACTCCAGGAGTGTCTCCGGAATATCAACGGGGTGAACTTTCCTGGACACTTGGGAAAATGTATTCTTCATGGGGCTATGATTCTTTTTGACACCTGGCTTTGGGAGGGCCACCCAAGGCACAGTGAGGGGTGGAGAGAGATACCTGTCCAGACACTCATATTAGCTCCTCAGCCTTGACCATCACTGGAGGGACAGATGACACCATCAGCTGTTAGACAGTTGTGCGCACATGCTGGGGGTCCTCAGGTCTTCTTTAGCCCATAGACTTGTTCTAGGGGGTTGCACAGGGTTTTAAAAATGAACTCCTTGCAAATATGTAAATCGAGAATTTTTACATAAAAACACATCATGTGGGATTGTTGGTGTCTCTTGAGGAATGGGACTGTCGGGCCACTCTGAGCTCATGTTCTCTCCGACAGCACCGCCGACCCCCCCGCCCCAGCGGAGCTTCCGCTTCCTTTAGATGGGACAGGGACTCTCACAGTCCGCATCCCATTTCATCCTTCCCTAACTCCAAGTCGTTGGCATGAATATTTGGTACCCCATGCATAGTTTCTATTAATAACAGTAATATTGTCTCTGAGCTTTTTACCAGCGATGTCGCTCTCCCCCTCCCCCAGTGTGTGATTGCAATGGGAAGTCCAGGCAGTGCGTCTTTGATCCCGAGCTTCACAGACAGACAGGGATCGGATTCCGCTGTCTCAACTGCAATGACCACACGGATGGCCCTCACTGCGAGCGGTGCCAGCATGGGTTCTACCGACAGAGGGAGAGGGACCGCTGCTTGCCGTGCAGCTGTCACACCAAAGGTAAGTGTGGGACGACGCGCTGGGCCAAGAGGGTAGGACACTAAGTGGAGTAAGTCAGACCGAGAAAGACAAATCCCGTATCATTTCATGTGTAAGTGAACGACGACAGCAACAAAACCCCACAAATGAATAAACATACGAAGAGCAGAATCAGGGGAGCCTGGCGGACTCAGTCAGAAGAGCGTGTGGCTCTTGATCGCGGGGTCATGAGTTCGAGCCCCATGTTGGGTGTGGAGATGACTTAAATAAATAAATAAACCTTTTAAAAAACGCAGAAGCAGACCTATAAATACAGAGAACAAACTGACCCTGGCTGGGAGGGCGGGGGCGGGGGGATGGGCGACATGGGCGAAGAGGAGTGGGAGATACAGGCTTCCAGTGACAGGGTGAGGGAATCGCGGGGATGGAAGGTACGGCCTGGGGAATGTAGTCCGTGATATTGTGATAGCGGCCTAGGGTGCGAGATGGGAGCTACAGCTGCGGGGCGCACAGCATAACCTATCGAGATGTTGAATCGTGTTATACGCCTGCAACTAACATAAGATTGTGTGTCACCTATACTAAAAAAAAAGTAGTTGGGAAAAAGGGCAAGGAAAGAGGGAGAGGGAGGGGGAGGAGGGAGGGGGGAAGGGAGGAGCCAGCAGGCCAAGAGAGTGGTGTTCAACATCTAGAACAACTGGGAATCTACTAGACACTGGTGGTAGAGCGTCTTACCAGTTTCAAGCTGAAAGGAAACCTGCTTTTCTTAAGTCTGGGTTGTAGGAACCAGCTGGAGTCTTTAGGACACGTTGGCTTGAATTCTAGTCGCAAGAGGAACATGATTAAGTTTCCCGGCAGATGACAGTTTGACCTAGGGACAAAGGAAGCTTCTATGCTTCTGGTGATAGTTCCCCGTATCCACAACTATGCCTTTGACCAACCTCTCAAAAAATAAGGGATAGAAAGATCTGTTTCTGGGGCTATGGTAGGTGCTAGCAATAGAAAGTGGTACTGGTCCAAGAGACAGCCCAATTAATAGGCAGATTTAAGTCTTTCACAAACACGGTTGTTAACAGGAGAAAATAGAATCAATAAATAGGAAGCACCTACAGGAGGATTGGTTGATAGTAGGGCTCTTTTTTGGTTGTACTTTGGTTTTGTTTTTTAAATATGTCACCCAGTGCTATGTTCACACAACTGTGGGTAATTCTTGCACACACAGACGCACACTTTGTGCTCTATTCATCATGGACAGCAAAGACAAGTTAGTACATATTAGGGGTGCCTGGGTGGCTCAGTCGGTTAAGCGGCTGCCTTCGGCTTGGGACGTGATCCCAGGGTCCTGGGATCGAGTCCTGTTTCGGGCTCCCTGCTCTGCAGGGAGCCTGCTTCTCCCTCTCCCTCTGCCTGCCTCTCTGTCTACTTGTGCTCTCTCTCTCTCTCTCTGTCAAATAAATAAAATCTTAAAAAAAAAAAAAAAAGTACATATAGAGAGGGAGAGACAAGTAGTTGTTAGAGAAGTTGAGTTTTTTTTTTTAAACTATGTTATTTGTGTATTCTCTTTCTTGGCAGTGTGTTTCTCCTCTTTGTTAGAAAGCGTTTAATAGTGTAATATGATAAATATTAATCCACTTAAAGAGTATAGCCAGAGTGCGTGGCAATGACTCAGTGTAGCTCTGTGGAATGAATACACAGCAGCAGCTGAAAGAATCTAAAAATGGTCAGGTTTGGTCCAGCCATGAGCTGCTGGGAGAGGGTGTTGGAGAGCCTTATAGAAAACTGGGGGTGACCCCATGGTGATAGAGACCCAAATCCCAGCAAGCACTTCCAAATTCTCCAGTTGCTGTTACGGTGTTGTTTGAGTCGGATTTGCTCAGCTTTGGGGCATGGAGTCAGCATCCAGAATCTTTTGGATTTAGCAGCTGTTCCTGTGAATCAAAGAACTTCATAAAGAAAAATTAAAAGGAAAATGACTCCATTTTAGTGGGCTTTCAATCCTCCTGAAGAGCCCACATCCCTTTAGGTTATGTGGCTGCACTGTGAGTCACTGGAGTGGGTCATCCCAGCAAAATGATCAGTGAGAATGTAATTAGAAATTTAATTGGCTTAGCTGGAAAGCCTGGCCCGAAGACAAGGTTATTAGTCTTAGAGTAGACAAGGAGCCTGCTGCTTAGCAGAGAGATGGTGATGAAGGATTTGCCACACCGTCTCTTCTTCTTCATTGCGTAGTCCGTTGCTCGCCCAGCATCCACGAGCCTGGCTTTTTCTTTTCCTTCGGGCCGTAGACATCCCAGGCTCAGTGTGAACAGCTTGGTAGGAAGTGGTGGAACCCAAAAATGATTTCTAGCTTATGAAATGATAGCTAACGTGCATTACTCGTTTACTCTGTGCCGGGCGCTTTTCTAGATGCCTTCACCCGGGAAGGAACCTTCACAAGTCACCATATGAAGCAGGTGCTATTATTACTTCCATTGTAGAAATGAGGTAGCAGGGGCCGAGGGAGGGAGATGAAGGAAGCCGCCGACGGTTGTAGAGTGCAGTGGCAGAGAGGGTGCCAGCCCCAGGTTCGCTGATGTCCAAGATCATAACGTAGAGACCAGTGGTAGGTTTGGGAGCCAGACAGCCTGGGCACTTCCACTGTGTCACTCTGGGCGTGTCCCTTCTCCTCTTGCTGCCCCAGTAAAGACCCCGGTAAAAGGGTCCCCAACCCCATGCTCTTTGTATCACAAGAGCCTGTGAGCATCACATGAGGTTTGTTAAGCACGTGGTAGACAACTCAGTAAACTGGAGTTGATGGAGTTTTTATTATTAGGACAGAGATTGGTGTCGCAATTTCCTGGAACATTGGCTTTTTAAAAAATCACATTCCTGTTTAGAAGGAAGCTGTAGAGGCCATATCTTTGGTCTAAGACTATTTATTAACGTTTTATTTTTTTATTAATATCCAGAAATTGGCAGTGAATTTTTCAGTATTTTTTAAAGAGTGGGGAAACGGAGCCCTGGAGGAGTGGATAAATGGCCTCTAGTCTTCACAACAAGCCATTGCAAGGGCTAAAGTTGTAATCCAGGGCTCTGGTGGAGGACTGTTCCCTCTTACTCCTTCCACCTGAAAGTAAAAAGTATCCGAATCGTGTCCTTTTATCCCCAACAGCAGACAATTAGATGTCCAGAAAAAATTCATGGATATTATTTCCTAAGATCTGGCTAATGCATTCTGTTTTTTCCAGAATATTTCCATATACTATGCCTTCTTCAGTACTCGTAACAACTTGACAACCTGTATGTGTTAACATGCTCCACCCACCATTCTAGAGACGAAGAAGTGAAGCTCCCGAGCCTGAGCTGCCAGGCTGAGTGGCATGTCAGTGACAGAGACCATTCCCACCTTGTGCCATCTCCCACTACATGGTGGCTGCCCAGATTACTAGCCCGGTGATGCAAGCTTAATCCCTGTGTGACTTCTTAGTCTCCCAATCAGCCGGGAGAGATTTGTCACTTTCAAGGGAATTTGTTGTATATGCAATCTCAAATGCCGAAGAACACATCTTACCAAAAACTGCAGTCAGTCCATGTATGGTGAATGAAGCCAACAGCATTAATAATCCCCAAAGTGGTCACAGATTTTGGATTTCACATCGATTTCTCATAGATATAGCAGCGAGGCTTATTTTTAAGGGATGACTTTGTGGGTTCAGCCACAGGGCTGAGTTATCTTCAACTCTTGTAAGCACATGTGTAAATCCTGAGAACCTTTTGCAAATATTTTGAAATTCACTGTGTGTATTTGTGTGGTTTTCCTCCCAGGACACCTACATTCTTGAGACCTGTATGGACATCAGTGATATTGGACTTCTTCTCTTAATTTTATTATTATTTTTTACATATCTATGACCCTGAATTACTCAGACTATAACATTTGGGTAATTATTTAAAACAATCTTAAATAATAATTTATCATTATTAAATATAATTATATATTTATATTATATAATATTATAAAAATATAATAATGTTACTTTAAAATACAAGTGTAGATATATATTTAAAGGGTTCCCAAAAGGACCTACCCTCTTTTTAATTTTTATTTATTTTATTTTAATTTTTTTAAAGGTTTTATTTATTTATTTGAGAGAGAGAGAAAGAGTGTGAGGAGGGGGAGGGGCAGAGGAGGAAGAAGAGAGACAAGCAGACTCTGAGCCGAGCACAGAGCCCGACACGGGGCTCCATCTCACAACCCTGCGATTATGACCTGAGCTGAAACTAAGAGTCTTGCACACTTAACCGACTGAGCCACCCAGATGCCCCTAATTTGTAAATAGTACTCATTTTAGCTTACCTTTCTGAGCCCTCAGATGCACATAGACCGTATCTATAGAAGCCTTAAAAGAGCTTATTGGGACACAAAACTGAAACAGGAAGCTGTTTTCTGTTTTTTCAGCCCACTTGTTCACAATCCCTAGGAGCAGCTCACGAAGGAGGAGTTGGGACAGGTGTTTTTATTTTAATGAGAGAGTTTGAAAACCCAGTGCTATTAGTTTGGAAGCTTTGGAATGTGACATAAAGTGGTCATGCTCACCGTAAGGACCTGTGCATGTCTCCATGTTCACTCTGCAAGGTTTGAAGGAGGCCGGAGGGAGCAGTGCCAGCTACATTCTTTGAACGCCCGTGACGTGTGAGACACTGAATGAGGCATTTTACATATTTTAGTCCAAAGTCTTGCAACAGCTCCACAAGGCATAGGGGGTTACCCTCCCTTAAAAGAACTGATGAGTAAGCCGTTTGCCCAAGGACACACAGCTAAGTGGCAGAGCTGGTTTTGAAGGGAGATTTGTTGGATTTCAAAGTCTGGGCTCTTTGACCCTCCAGCTTTTAGAGCAGGATTCTCTAGATAATGTCCTGTAAAATACAACGTTCCTCAAGATAATCATAGATGTGGCCTGTAAGAATGTCAAAGAATGTTTAGAAATACTGGCATTAAAATTTAAACAAGGTCCATGCCTGCTGAAGGTATTATTATATTATAAGTCTCTGAGGGATCAGTGAGCACCATTTCCCAAACTTTTCTCAACACAGAATGCCTATTTTCATGAGATGATTATTGATTTCTCTCAGAAGGGTGTTTTGCAGGGTAACCATTTTGGTCTATGTGGGTCAAACCCAAAAGCCAAGTACAATCTTTTCCATTTTCTAAGAAGAATTCATTTCTGAAAAACTGTAGGGAGAATTTTCTTGGGTTGAAAGCATAATTTCCATTAATTGGAATGGGGAAAAAATGGATTTCTGAGTCCCAGATTGACACCCATTTGTGTTAAAGAAAAAAAAAAAAACAAGTGGATTGTATTAAAGAGAGATATCTTCTGTTGAATGTTATTTATCAGAGCATAATTCAGAAATTTTCCTTCTTAGCTCTGTTGGCTGCCTGCTTGTAGGTCAGGAGTGTGGAGGTCTGTGCTTGGCAGCCCAGTAAGCCTCTCTTCATGCTCATCTTGTCAAATATTCTCTTGCCTTAGGTCCTGAAACTCCCACCCTCCTGCTCTCTTGACCCTCAGAACTCTGCTCCCTTGGCTTCCAGTGTCCTGAGACTTCTTTCTGCTTTGATTATGAAAGGCCCCTTAATTAATGGGGTTCCATTTGTGTCCGAGGCTCCTCCCCTCCTTGTTCTATCTGCCCCCAGAGCGATCTTACACCTGCTCTGCTTTCCTACTCAGCCTGTGTGCTAAAGGCTCCTAGATCCTCACCCCCAGCCTCTTTCTTGAGCTCCAGGTGAACATTTCCACCTTAATATGCCACCGGAAAGTCAAGTTCACAATGTCCAAAACTAAACTCATGATCTTCTCTTGATGCTTCAACCTGAGATCTTGCTCCTTCTTTCCCATTCTCTTTGGTAAATAGCTTCCCATTGCTTCTAGTGGCGCAAAGTTGGGACCTTGGTGTCATCATGTGATCCCCACCCCCTCATCGTCTATTTCTGAAGAGGGGAAGTCTGTTCCTTCTGCATCCACGTGGCTCTCTCAGCGATTCCCTCCTCCTCTTCTCACCCAGACTCCTCCAATCCAGAGCATCCTGTCACAGGAGGATGTCTTTCCGAGGAATGGTGTTCCCTTCCCTGAGGCATCCTGCAGATGGCCTTAGAGATGCCTTTCTGAACTGTGGGTCTGCAGTTCCTGAGCCTCTGATACTTCCCTGTTACCCACAAATGGATCTGTTATTCTTCTGTCAGCTCTTATTTCACTAGGAGATAGCATTTCCTAATATATATAAAGCGCCGCACCCAGTGTCTCACATGTGGTAGGTGCTCAAAAAATGTAGTTTATACCATTATCACTGAGGGCCCCTTCAAGCCTTGCAAAGTTGACATGGCGTCTTTCACTGACTCTGTGAATGTGGCTAATTTCAGGTTCCACATGTGGCAAAAAGCCATTATATCGGCACAGAGCCAAAATCTTCATTGATTGGAATTGTATCTACTAGTGAATCAAAAACTTACAGAATAACTGATTACAAAGAAAGGAGCAACTGGTTAGTGTTCTTTTGGCTTTATCGATTATGGGTGGCCTGGTTATCATGGTTCGTTGAGATACGTGGATTCTTTGATAATTCTGCCAGCACAGGGAGGTTGCAAAGTAGGTGAGGTCCACCTCTCACCACCTTCCTGCTCATTTTTGGTCCTCCTCTGACTCTGTCCCAACAACCCTAACCTCTTTCTTGGCATACGTGTCTTCATCCAACAGATTTCTGGGCATCCTCTTCGGGTTGGATTCTGCACTGGGGCCCTGGGGACAGAGCAAGGAACACAAGCTGAGGTCATCCTGAGTAAGCAGGACTGCAAGATGGCTATTTGGGATTTGGGAGTCAGAGGAGATTTCCCTAGAGAAGTAATATTAAATCAGGACCTGACAGCTGAGGATGGGCCAATTAGGAGGAAGTTCTGGGGAAGGGGCCTTCCAAGCTGGGGGAGCAGCAAGGGCAGATACCCAGAGGAGAGAAGCCATTTGGCACATTTCACACACAGGCTGGGGGAGCTGGGAGCTGGAATGGAGTGAAGGAGAGTAGGCGATGTGCTGGGAGAGGTCGAGTCCTGTGGGCCACGATACAGAGTTTGCATTTTCTTCTGCTTAGAGTGGGGAGCCACCAGAGAACGAAACAGCTGAGTAATGTGATCTGAATTCCATTGTTAAAGCAGCATGAAAGGAGGGAAGGGAGGTGAGGATGGAGGCAGGGAAGAGAGTGGGAGGCAGGGTCCAGGGAGAGAGGACAGACCTGAACTGGGGTGGGGGAGGGCGAGGCAGTCAGATGAAGAGGCTGGGTTCTGGAGGGGTGCATTTGCTACCCTGAGCACTTCTTGTCTCTCATCAACTCGCAATCCAAGAGGGCCCACTAACAAGTAAGAGCATGTCTATACAGAATCAGTCACAGGACAAGTGCTCAGTGCACTAAACCGGGTGAGATGCACAGGGAAGGGGTGATGCCCCAAGGACGAGAATGTCCACCACTCCAGGTTGGTAGAGATATTTCTGGTTAGGAGGCCTTTTCTTACTCAAAAAAAAAAAAAAAAAAAAAGAATAAAATCACACTGACCCTTAAAAGATGGCTTTTGCCTGCCAGAAATAAGAGAAAATGTTGCTTGCTTTCTCATACTGTCTTCGAGGAGGCTGATGCGCTCATTCCCAAACTGTCCCTCTTCTTGAGATCTCAAAGGATTCAACAACCTTCTTTTAAAAAGCAGTGGCTGACACACTACTTAATGTTCGATAGAGAAGTACAAATGCTTCCAGGAGTAACTTCCATTTCTTTGCTGGAAGAAGCCGCGCCTGGCTGTGAGCTCTCATGGGGTTGCAGTTGTTTCCTAATGCCCTATAAACTAAATACTTCCTTTTCTTCTTTCCTTCTCCCCACCTCGTGTGTCACAGGTTCTCTTAGCGCTGGATGTGACAACTCTGGACGGTGCAGCTGCAAGCCGGGTGTGACAGGAGACAGGTGTGACCGATGTCTGCCAGGCTTCCACATGCTCACTGACGCCGGGTGCACCCAAGACCAAAGGCTACTGTAAGCACCTGCACCCCCCACTGCAGCTTCTGCCATGAGGGATGACAATGACATTAACATCCGTGGCCACTTCCGTTACTGAGCACCGTGTGCCCAGTGCTGTTTGAGGACTTCCCGTGGGTTATGCCATTTAATCCTTACAGTAAGCCTCAGAAGTTAGGATTAGCGTCACACTCATGTGGCAGATAAGAAATGTAAACCCCGAGGGGTTAAGTTTACCCAATATTACTGGTGGGGGTGGACCTAATATTCAGGCCCAGAAACCTACGTTCTTCACCCAGATGATTGCCCTGCTTTAGATGAATGAGGATGGAGGTAAAGCACCCTCCAGATTCTTACCTGGGACCCGTTTCGACCCAAATGAATTTGGACTAGAAAAACTTTTCTGCACAGTTTTGTTACCTTTTAGTTTGAAGCATGCTCTATCCCACGTCATATTCTTTCCCAGAAGAGTGGCACCTGGGTGGCTCAGTCTGTCACCCTCAGAGTAGCGTGAGCCTAGACAACCGAGTCCTTAAAGGGCCTGGGAGAGATGAGCGTGGACAAGGGGAGCCGAGAGGGGCCTCAGTGAAGACGAAGGATTTACTCAAGTTGGTGACATTTACTTAGAAGCACTTGATCTTTGTGTGGATAGCCGGGAAGCATTTGGAGACACATCTCTACTTTTCTTTGTCTTCTTTCCTAGAGACTCCACGTGTGACTGTGACCCAGCTGGTATCTTGGGGCCCTGTGATGAGGGCCGCTGTGTCTGCAAGCCAGCTGTCACCAGAGAGCGCTGTGACAGGTCCGTGTGAACCGTGGCCCTGCGGACACAGCAGGGAGAGCCTCTTGGCAGCTAGCGTGAGAATTCATCCTCTGAGTGCCGTTGTGGAAAAGGGACACGTAACAAATAGAGACGATCTCTATCCTGCCCGCTGGCCTCAAAATCCTAGCTTTTTAAAAAAAATACAGCTGAGCCCCCCAGATCTCCCTGGACCCCATCCTTTTGCAGGGTCCAGGGCCCCAGGGAGTCCCCTTGCCAGCTGACTCTGAATCCCAGGTGCTCCCATACAAGGTGGCATGGGACGATGAGGTCACCTGACTCAGCTTGGTCCCAGAAAAGGCCTGGCCTAATTAAGCATGTTGTGAAAATGCTAGTAAGAGGAAATATGGCCATATATAACCATCATGTGCAGCAAAGGAAACGCCCAGGGATGGGCTGGTGCTTGCATGCACACACATGAGCCGGGAGGAGAGGTAAGAGCCCTTTGGGCCCCGGGCCATGTTGCGGCAGGTGGCACAGGAAACAGCGATCCACCCTCCGTTGCGGCTTGCGGACAGTCCTTAAGGACAAATTGCTCAGACTTAAAACGCTTCCCTCCCCTATAATAGCTGGGAGGCTGGGCAGAGAGGTAAAGGCATTCTCCTCGTTTCCTTAAAAGTAAGAAAGCAGGGGCGCCTGGGTGGCTCAGTTGGTTAAGCAACTGCCTTCGGCTCAGGTCATGATCCCAGAGTCCCGGGATCGAGTTCCGTGTCGGGCTCCCTGCTCAGCGGGGAGTCTGCTTCTCCCTCTGACCCTCACCCCTCTCATGCTCTCTCTCTCATTCTTTCTCTCAAATAAATAAATAAAATCTTTAAAAAAAAAAAAAAAAAAGTAAGAAAGCAGTCCTTTGGCATCCTGACAATCACTTGTACCTGGGCAGAGAAAATACCAGATGCATTCCCAGCTTGTGTTTCCAGGGGGTTCTTCACTGCTGCAGCGCAGGGAGGGGACCACAGCTTACGTGTTAAAAGAGGAGTCACTTTTTGAAAAGGTGTTTCATTTCGGAGTGTCACACAGAAACAGAAAACTACATGAAACAAATGTCAGCACCACCCCTTCTAAGACGTAGACCTTCACTAAAAGTGTGCCATCCCAATGCAACAACCCCCTCCTTTCGAGAAGTGACACTGTTCTGACCTCCGTGTGATCACTTCCTTACTTTTCTTCATAATTTATCACCTGGTTTCATCCCTCATCACTGTCGTTGTTTTGCCTGAGTTCCTTCAGTTCCTTCCTTCCCTTCTTTTTTCATTCCCTCCCCTCGCTTTCTGTGCCCCTCCCCCTCTTCCTTCCTTGCTTTTTAATCCCTTTTAATCTGCAGGTTTCCTCCAAAGAAACCATAATGATTTTTTTTAAGCCCTTGCTCTGTAGAGAAAAAAACAATGCTTATTTATGTACAGCTGTTCTCTGAAGCATTTACTGTTCACAGTTAACCTGCTTTTCTATAATTTTGCACAATATACAGACTCCCCTCATAGGGGGCAGTGGATTAGACCACATGACTTAGAGGCAGATGGACCCGGTTTGAAAATCTTTTCTCAGTCACTTACCAGCTCTATGACCTCAAACAAGTTTCTTAACCTCTCTGGCCTGGGTGTCTTCATCTAAGAAAATTGGAAATTGGGAGCCTGGTGGCTCAGTTGGTTAAGCGTCCAACTCTTGATTTCGGCTCAGGTCATGATCTCATGGTCATGAGATCGAGCCCCTCATCAGGCTCTGCTGGGCATGAACCTGCTTAAGATTCTCCCTTTCCTTCTGCCCCTGCCCCTGCTCATGCTCGCTCTCTCATTCTCTTAAATAAATAAATAAATAAATAAATAAATAAATAGAAATTGGAAATGACAACTCCTATCTCATAGGGTTGTACCAAGGATTAAATTGGAGAACATACACAAAGTGCCTGCCATAGCATCAGCGCTAAATAAATGATCATTGAAACTTTTATTATTTCATGAAGAAGGATGTAATTAACTTGAACGGAGAAAAACAAGTCCTCCCCAGCTTTTCCTTCTTCTCTGTGGCCCCAACATCTCCGACTTGCCTGGTAGCTGTGGTCCTCAGACAGGCCACTGGCAGGTGGGACGCCAGCCTACATTTTGCTTTTGTAGGGAGCCTCCAGCCATCCTTCTTTGTCATATCCCCACCTGCCCCTTTCCCCGTGGACAGAGCAGGGATATAAGGGGCAGGGATGGTGGGCAGCAATTAGTGTTCTTGTGCGGGCCAGGACAGCTGAGCAGGTGCTGGGGCCGGGACATTTATCTTTCCTTTCTTGGCCCCACCTCCCTCTCTTTGCCCCCATTAAACACTTGCTCTAAGACAGGGCCAGCTCTACATCCCCCCTGCGCCAACCCTTCTTGTCCCGCTCATGTGACCTCCATTCAGTTCCTCACCAGGGATGGGGAAATCACTAAGTTCCAGGCCACCAAGTCCAGCGTGATTGTGCTCTACCACAGGGACAGAAAAGTGAACATTCATGCTCTCTCAGTGGGGGCTATGACTATCCATCCCGTCTGGGAGTGGGGATGGTATGTGTAAGTTACTATTTCCCAGTTCTGGGAATTAATAGGGCCAGGCGGGAGAGAAAGTAGAAAAGATCAGTCATCATATTCTCTATATGAACTAAGAAGTAACTTCTAACATTGTCCTGATCTCTAAAATGCTGCCACAGGTGTCGACCAGGTTATTATCACCTGGATGGGGGAAACCCTGAGGGCTGTACCCAGTGTTTTTGCTATGGGCATTCAGCCAACTGCCACAGCTCTGGAGACTACAGTGTCCATAAAATCAGCTCTACTTTCTATCAAGGTAAAGTGTTCTGTTTCTAGAATTTTGTTTTTAACATTGTATAGAGCTTTATGCTTACAGACAACCTCCTCCTCGTCACAGCTTGGGACCTTTGCATAGTCTTTAGCAACTCTCTTCTGGCTTTAAAGGACATTATTTTGTCTGGGCAATAAGGCAGATCCTAATGTCTTGAAAAAGTCATAGCTGCACAGCTGACTCATACCGGTATATGAATAACTTAAAAGAATAACTAAAAAGAGACCGGATTTTCATCTCCCTGCACTTCCCACCTCCATGTATTTTAAAACCACAAAAGAGCCTTTCATTTGGATTGGGGGGGGGGTTATTGAGTCTTCCTGGAATTCACACTCATTAATAATACCGCTTTCACGGGCGCCTGGGTGGTTCAGTCAGTTGAGCATCTGACTCTTGGTTTCAGCTCCAGTCATGATCTCATGGGTCGTGGGATTGACCCTACAACTCTGCTTGAAAGATTCTCGCCCTCTGCCCCTCCTCCCACTCACATGTGTTCAATCTCTCTCTAAAATAAATAAATAAATCTTTTTTAAAAATACTGTTTTCACATACATTACATGAGTTAATGTATGTGAAATTAGTTATCAAGCTACCGAACCCTATAAAAATCTAGGAGAGTGACATGATTTCAATTTTGAGTTTCTGTTGGAACATACTGGGCCCTCCCCACTCACAAAGGCCAGACCCTGTTTATGTAAATAAAATAAAAGTATGAACTCTACAGGCAGATGAAAATATGCTCTCTTATTATGAGAATCAGACTCAAAGAAGTCAGAGCTGCTGTGGGGTGGGAGCAGGTGAAGTTGAGACCCAAGTGGAATGGGGCATAGGACATTTTAAGGACTGCACACGAATGTGGAACTATTAAGAAACCCCACTAGCTGTTCACCTCTAAGACTTTTTGGCAATCAAGTCTTGCCTTATTTAGCTCAATAGATGATGAGGTTTGTCTGCCAGATGCAGAGTGGTTTTATTTGCATTCCAGATGTTGATGGCTGGAAGGCTATCCAAAGAAATGGGTCTCCTGCAAAGCTCCAGTGGTCCCAGCATCATCGGGACGTGTTCAGCTCAGCACGACGATCAGACCCCATCTATTTTGTCGCTCCTGGTATGTACGGTATTTTTCTTATAGAAGCCAACCTGTAAGCCTAGAAGTCAGGAGAGAAAAATGGAGTTAGCATATGTGAAAACCATATCACCTGGTGTTCAGAAAAGCAGTATCTCCAGAAGACAGTTGGGGCTTCAGCCCTATTGACAAAGTCATGATACAATAGAACAGGACTATGTATCCAGGCAGACGGTCCCTGGTTGAGGTTCCTACTTCCGTCAAATGGGAAGTTTCTAGGTTTTCTATCAAGACCAGAAATAAAGACAGAGGTCACATCTGTGGATCTACTGAGAAGCAGATGGAAAAGTGAAAATAAGGTTTTCTCAGTTTTAACCACTTGTACATTAAAAACATATGTATTAGTAGTTCATTTCATTAGCTACTATGTGGTGTTCAGGTAAGTTGTCCTCTTAACCTTTCCAAATTTCAGTTCTTGCAGCTGTTAAATGGGGATAATAATTCCTCCAAACATAATGAAGTCTGTGAACTATAAAGCATTATGTAACAAATGGTACTATTCCCAACATACCCGGGACCTTTATGTCCCAGGCATTCACAGGGCCATGCTGTGCATCATCTAACGCATGGAATTGTCTTACAACGTGGCCCTTTTGTCAGTCTCTAACTCTCCTTTGTAGCCAGGGGCAGTATGGCCACATCCATGAACTGCTTCTTCTGGAAGGGTGGTTGGGGGCATGGAGGCACACTGATGACACAGAACTCCAACAGAAATCACCAACAGTAATGCAAACTTGCTAGCTCGTTTACTTCTCCAGTTTCACACTGATCTCAGTCTTTTCAAATTCTGTTTCACAGCCAAATTTCTTGGGAATCAACAGGTGAGCTATGGGCAAACCCTGTCTTTTGACTACCGTGTGGACAGGGGAGGCAGACACCCATCCGCCCACGATGTGATCCTGGAAGGCGCTGGTCTACGGGTCACAGCTCCCTTGATGCCTCTGGGCAAGACGCTGCCTTGTGGGATCACCAAGACTTACACGTTCAGGTAAAAAGAGTGACTACAAGTGGGTCAGGTGACTGAAGTCCCCTTCCTTTGTTCATGCATTCGATCATTCATTCTTTTAACAAGCTTTTCTGAGCACCTTGCGTGTACCAGACATGGTGTTATGTACAGAAACAGGACGTGCTTCCTGCCCTCAAGCCCTTGACAGGCTAATGGGAGAAAAAGATAAACAGAACAGTACAGTGTGGCTTGTGAGTGACAAGATAGGCAAGGTGGGCACAGGTGTTTGGAACACACAGAGGAGCACAAGTAACCCACATTGGAGCGATCAAGGGGAGCTTCCCAAGAAGACATGACAAGGGAAGAACAGTTTTCTAAGGATAGAAAGGGGAGCGAGGGGAAGGTGAGCAAGGCAGGGGAAATAATCATGCTTGAGGACGTTTTGTGCATTAGGAAATTCTAAGTAGTTAAGCATGAGCGAAGTGTGGAGTGGGGGAGAAGAATACAGTGAGAAGTGAGGTCAGTGAACTAAAGAAAAGAGTTGGGTTGTTCCTGGAAGGATTCCAGTAAAAAACAAAAACAACATTTGAAAGACCAGTGCAGGGGAAGATGATATGATGCTGTGAGATATCATCATGCTAAATGAAGAAGTATTGGACGTGTCCAATGTAGAACGTGAAAGCTGACTTTTGAAAAGAGTAGGTGAAATGTGCTCAGTTAACAAACCATTTAAACAACAAAACCAAAAATTAATGGTAGCTCTCTTGAAGGTCAGAGCTTCTTGAACTCAGCAATGTTCCTGATACTAAGTTTTGTGTGGCCAGGAATAGAAAGTGGTCTCTGAGGACTCAGGCCAGCACTGGATGCCATGACCCCTGGGGCTGGGCTTCTTGCACTGGGATGCCCTCCATCACTTCCTGTGGGGTTCATGCTCCCTGCAGAGAGAGCAAACTCCAAGTTCAAGCCTATAAGGATGCAGCTACCCATCCTTCATCCCCCTCTAGGCAGGGCCGTGAAGGGGCTTAGTGGTTCCCACCTTCTTGGGCATAATTTATATCGTGTATACAAATTATAAGACTGATAAGAGTTGTATTTTTAAGCTTTGGGCTTTAAATCCCTCAGATTAAATGAACGTCCAAGCAGTAATTGGAGTCCCCAGCTCAGTTACTTCGAGTATCGGAGGTTACTGCGTAACCTCACAGCCCTGCGGATCCGAGCTACTTATGGAGAATACAGTAAGTGACGAAGGGAAATGAATTTCCCTCTTAGGTTTGAGTTTGTCTCAGCTTCCTGAGGTGGTGACAGTCTCCAAACAAGTAGGTAAACTACTTGATGGTTTGGATGGAGGGTCTCCAATTAGGTCTAAATTCTTATATTCTAGAAGTTGTTAGAAGTAATGTTCCTCTAAAAAGAAGTTAACACCAATGAAGAGTGGATGATGCTCCTTTGCTTAGGAGTCTCCAGATTTAGATGAAAGCTGATTATTTGAAGAAGATAATCTACAACAAATGGGCTTGTCCCCTTCGCTAGGAAATGGCATCTACAACTCAGCCCTCTATTCCTTGAGTTGCTGCTCCTTGGGGATTATACTCAGTGCTACCATATTCAGACATTACCTGTACTCTTTTAACTCCTTTTATTGAACTTCACACGGGGGGGACTCTGATCCCAGCTGGGATTCTGTAAATGTGAGTTCCTTGAGTTTTTTAGCACTTACATGAACAGGAAGCATCGCTCGCTGGCATGCCTAATTTCCACATCACTAACGAAGCAAGCCTAACAGGATATAAGAAAAGGTGTTCATTAACAATTTTATTGAATCTTTACTTCGAGCCAGGCACATTATAATATATGCATTGTCTCATTTCATTTCACAACCAACATGGGAGGTCCCTACCACTGTTACTTCTCTTCCACGCTTGAGGAAACACCATGGTAGCAAGTTGTGTGACTTGCCCAATTCGCACAGCTAGCCAGGGTGGAGCCGAAATTTAAACGCTGCCTTTCCTGACACCACGGCCTGTGCGTCAGTCAGGACGGATGGCGGTACGTCTACCCAGGGCATAGTGAGTGAACGCCACCTGTCTTTGTTAGCGAGTTAAGAAAAATAAAATCCAAAGAGCGGCCTGCCTTTAGATCTTTCGACCTCACCACTTGCTCCTTCTAACCCGATCTCCGTGTGGCAGGCACTGGGTACCTCGACAACGTGACCCTGATTTCAGCCCGCCCCATCTCCGGAGCCCCAGCTCCCTGGGTCGAACAGTGCGTGTGTCCCGTTGGCTACAAGGGCCAGTTCTGCCAGGATTGTGCTTCCGGCTACAAAAGAGATTCTGCCAGACTGGGACCTTTTGGCACCTGTATTCCGTGTAACTGCCAGGGGGGAGGAGCCTGCGATCCAGACACAGGTGCGTGAGAGGACACCTGGCCCGGGTGGCCGGGGGCGGTCAGGTGACTGGGGTCTCCCGTGCAAGAGACAGAGCTGTGTAAGGAGGACTCTGCCTGCACTCACTTCGGAGATGGGAAAGGATTAGGAAGGTAGGGCTGGAGTCAGAGAAGATGGACATGGGGCTTTCTTACACTCAATCCTTTTCATTATGGAACATGCCGCGAGGGTGTGGGAAAGGTACCAGGTTACAGGAGACGGCTGTCATGGTTCAGTGCTGGGGGTGTTGTTGGTGTCAAGTTTCAATTGTTTGGAGAGATCAAAGGCAATGTCAGGGCCTGAATGAATGTGCGGACAAATGGTGTCAGGCCATGGGGTGGGGGGGTGGGGGGGGTGGGAGAGGAAAGTGTTACATTATGGGTGGGAAAGGAAGCTAGGTCTACTGAGCATGGGGGAGCCGCATAAGAGTCAGGGTCATGGCCAGCTTTAGAGTTGGTAGTGGGGCAAAGGTGAATGCCGGTGCTCAGGCACTTCGGGGAAAGCTTCAGAAAGGAAGATTTTGGTTCCAGAGCTCTGCCTCCCATGCATCACCCATATTACAGGAAGTGTATTGTTTTACCCTGCTCGTTTCTCTGCCCTCCCTTCTTCCTCTGCCTCCCAGGAGACTGTTATTCAGGGGATGAAAACCTTGACATCGAGTGCGCCGACTGCCCCATCGGTTTCTACAACGACCCACACGACCCCCGCAGCTGCAAGCCGTGTCCCTGCCACAACGGGTTCAGCTGCTCTGTCATGCCAGAGACAGAGGAGGTCGTGTGCAATAACTGTCCCCAGGGGGTCACGGGTAAGGCCCCACACTGCTGACCCCGTGCCGGCACCATGAATTCCTGTCAGTGGCTGCTATTCCAAACAGTCTCTAGGGGATTATAATTACTTAGGGTTACTGTAGAAGGCCTCATTCTAAAGATAAGAATGCTCCCGAAGGGTGGATTGAGGAAGGGCAGGGCATGGTTTATAGGGGATGTACGTACAGTTAACGTTGTTTTAGGTTTGTCACTAGGAGATGAAGTTTTCAGATGAAATACGTGGTTTATTTTAAAGATTTTATTTATTTATTTGAGAGAGAGAGACAGACAGAGATAGTGAGAGAGAGCATGAGTGAGGAGGAAAAGGAGAAGCAGGCTCCCCACTAAGCAAGAAGCCCAACTCGGGACCCGATCCCAAGACTGAGATCATGACCTGAGCCAAAGGCAGATGCTTAATCGACTGAGCCACCCAGGCGCCCCGAAATACGTGGTTTAACTAAGCTCTACACAATGAACCAGGGTACAGAAGGGAAACTTAGTGGCCTTTTAAATGTCACATCTCTCTCCTGGGGTGCCTGGCTGGCTCAGTCGGTAGGGCATGCGACTCTGGGTCTCGGGGTTGTGGGTTCGAGCCCCACGTTGGGTGTGGAGATTATTTTTTAAAAAAATAAAAAATAAAAGAATAAAGGCACATCCCTCTGCTGGCCCGTCTGAAAGAAGAGTTAATTCTTCAGCGACAACCTCAGTGGTATTGCTATAAAACTGACTTTTCCCCAACCACCTAGTTAGCTGGCAGGAAGCCTTCTAGCAGGGCTGCTGTGTTCCAACATCGGGGACCACCGTGGAGCGAAAGAGCCAAGCCCTTGCCCTGAGCACCTGCCCCTGAGGCTACTGTTCTGGGGTCCAGGGTGGGAACCTCTTCTAGAAGGACGACTGGTCTTGCTGCCAGCAGATGACCACTCAGGCTTGGGCATTTGTTCCTTCCAGGGGCCCGCTGCGAGCTCTGTGCCGATGGATACTTTGGGGACCCCTTTGGGGAACGTGGCCCAGTAAGGCCTTGTCAGCCCTGTCAGTGCAACAACAACGTGGACCCCAGTGCCTCTGGGAACTGCGACCGCCTGACGGGCAGGTGTCTGAAGTGCATCCACAACACGGCGGGTGTCCACTGTGACCAGTGCAAAGCAGGCTACTTTGGGGACCCGTTGGCTCCCAACCCAGCGGACAAGTGTCGAGGTAGGACTGCGTCCCCAGACAGCTGGACAGGTGGGGTGTGTGTGCGCACGCACGTGTATGCGTGTAAGCTTAGCGTGTACACATGTAGGAACATACTGATCGGCGAGGCCAGCAGCAGGTAAGAGGGGGCTGCTTTGGTTTCTCTGACCAACTGGCCTATGAACAGTCTGGACCCTTCACCTGTCAAAGGCCTTAAGACCCCTGCAGCAGGCTTCTGGAAGGCAGAGCTGGAGGATGTCGAATGGGTTAAAGCTGGGTGGGAGAAGAGAAAAAGGTTGAGTTTACATTCCTGAGTGGAAGAGGAGATGGAATGGGGCCAGGCCATATGCCTCATTCCAAGGCTGGCAGGCGTGCTGCCAAGCTTGTTCCAGGACAGCAGGAAAGGACTTGAGACTAAGCCCGAACACACGCGGCAGGGGGGTGGGGGGTGGGGTGGGAGGGTGGGCAGCAGTTTAAAAGACCCTCTCAGGAAATCAGTGTAATTGATGCAGACAAAGGTAACAGTTCCAAGTTCTACTAACGAGACTTGGCCTCAACCTCACGGCTATCAGGGTGCATTCCTTAGGGCTGCTTCAGATCAAAGTGTAAATGTATACATTGGTCCTCTTGCCCGACCCTTCTATCAAGCCTCCGTACATGTTATATTCAGGAGGCAAGTTTAGTTCTAGGCAAGTTCAAATTCAGTTTTAGGGTGCTGGCCTGCCCCACAGACTCACCCCTCAGTCACAAAGGTCCCAGACTAGCCCTGGTGCCCAGAACTCAGGGGCTTGTTTATTATAACAGAGCCAGAGAGGGCCTCTGGGCACCCAGATGGGAGGGCTCCTGGTTCCCCAGGAGGTCTGCAGGGAGCCCAGCACCTCCCACTCACCCCAGAATCCCCAGCCCTGGAAATGCCTGAGGACCCCTGTGCAACCTGGGGCTTCCACCCAGGAACACAAATCCCACCTGCCCTAACCCCAACCTGTGGGTTAGCTCTGATGTGCTAGAAAGTACCCCATGATAAGGAAAGAGCCCACATGCTATGAGCAGTACTGAGTTCAAGTGTAGTTTTTTACCATACCGATCGTATTACACTGGTTATGCCAATTAATCTCTCTGAGCCTCAGTTTCTTCATACAGATGAATAATATTTAACTCAAAGTGGTTGCAAATATGAAATAAAATAGCATCTGAGAAGGTACACTGTAAAGGATAGAATACTAGTTACAAGGTGCTATTAATAGAGACTTCACTGGCTTTAGACTGTACATTTCTTCACTCCACCATCTGTTGTCAAGCACCTACTACCATGGACCCAATGTGCAGCTACATACTGAGGTCATAAGTCAGTTCCAGCCCCCAAAGAGATCATATGCTAATAAGGAAGACACACAAGTATGTAAGCACATAATGACAGTATACTTAGATATGTGATCATATTACTGCGTGCCGAGTGTTTTGTGAGCGCCATAGAGCAACCCAGAGAATCACCGTAACTCCCTTAGTGCAGTGTCTCACCCACTGGTATATCCTCAGCTCCTAGAACAGTGTGGCACGTAGTAGGTGCGCAATCAGTATGAATGAATAAAGGTACTGCTTTTTTTTTTTACTGCATTTCCTACATCAAAGGCAGCAGAGCAAAAGGAAAAGAGCAATGCCTCTTTCCAAGCTCTCATTCCGGTTTACCATTTACTTGCTGTGTGACCTAGGATAGATTACTCAACCTCTCTGAGCTCATAGTCCTCATCTGTAAAATAGAGAGAGATTACATCTGGCATGTAATAGGCCCAGAAGACATGTTATTCCCCTTTTGAGCAAAGCTAGAGTGCCTGCAGAATATCCAACAGGCTCACAATTTAATGGGAGGAAAAAAAGAATAAGTGCCACCAGAAAGGGTGGACTGTTGTAGGATCTCTTTATCCACACCCACACCAAACAAACTTCTAGATGATTCCTAAGATCTATCTATATTATAAATGTGCTTAGAGGCACAGGCAAGAGATGAATCTAGCACAATGTGAACTGACTTTGCCATTGGTGACTTGAACTTCCTTTTATCTTTGCCATACCTCCAGTTTCTAGAATTAGCTTGATATGAATGCTTTCTGTTTGTCTGTGTTTTGTCTCTAGCTTGCAACTGCAACCCAGCGGGCTCAGAGCCTGGGGAATGTAGAAATGATGGCAACTGTGTTTGCAAGCCCGGATTTGGCGGCCTCACCTGTGAGCATGCAGCACTAACCAGCTGTCCAGCTTGCTATAATCAAGTGAAGATACAGGTGTGCATGCTACCCAACCCTCACCCCCATGAGTAAAATTGTTAGGTGTCTACTGGGTGGGTCTGTCACAAATCTAGGACCCTCTTAATCTCCCGGGGATGAGGGTGGAGATTACTATTTCTTTCTTTAAAAACTTCCATATAGTAGTAATAATGCTTCAGGTTTGTGCTCTTATATACACTATTTTCAAGATCCGTTTTGAAGATACTGTCTCATTTGGTACTCTTGATGAGTCAATTTGCAAGAGGAGGCATTCTAAAGTCAGTCACTGAGCAAAGTCTCCAAACATTTGCAATTTTTCAGTCACGTGGCCAGGTGGAACCAAGAGTCCCACCCTGAATTCCCTGATTCTTGGTTCCACCTGGCCACGTGACTGAAGAATTGCAAATGTTTGGAGACTTTGCTCAGTTCAGTACTCTTTACACTTACAACATGCCACTTCCTAGCTGGATTTTTTCCAAGAGATGTCTTTGTAAAACAAATGAAGAAAAACGTAAATATGTAGAAGATTTGAGGAGTCTAAAAGGTGTCAAGGCTGCTCAAACAAGAATGGCCTCCAGAAATTTCTCATTCACATTCCAGAGAAGAATGAAATTGTTGTTGTTAATTATTGTTATTTTGTTGGGGTGAAGGGCGAAGGAAGAAAAGGCCCAAACAGAACCCCAAAGGTAGAACAAACTCGTTTTTTTTGTTAACTTTTCTATTTAACCTGCCCTCTATAGCACTTTCTTTGTTCCAGACACTGTTCCAAGCACTATCCAAATACTAACTCACTTTGTCCAAGTAATAACTATGAGATATTATTATTATCCCCATCTAATGGGTAATGAAAGCGACTTGCCCAAGGTCACACTGACAGCTAATGAGTAGTGGGGCCAGGATTCAAACTCTAGGCTCTAGCATCTTTAACTGCCATGACATGCCAAGCATTTCTGGGCTTTTAGATGTTCTCCCCTGAGTACCTGGTATCGGACTGTGATCCCCACCACCTGTTCTGACTCTCTTTCCTGTGTGGTTTCAGATGGAGCAGTTTATGCAGCAGCTGCAGAGCCTGGAGGCCCTGGTTTCCAGGGCTCAGGGTGGTGACGGAGTGGAGCCTGACACAGAGCTGGAGGGCAGGATGCAGCAGGCTGAGCAGGCCCTTCGGGACATTCTGAGAGAAGCCCAGATTTCAGAAGGTGATGAAGGCCAATTGCCCTTTAGACAGAAGGGAATTTATAATCTTCTGTTGGGTATCAGTTCAGTGGGTGTCTCTGTCCAGCACTTGGAGAGATAAAAGGACTGTGATCTCCTGGGACCTGAATGATGGTGATAAGAGAGTGGCTGCATGCATTCATTTATTGGGTTTTTACCATTTTGCCGTTAGCCAGTCAAAGTCACTCTTCAACCCTCCCTCATGTCCTATTCCTCTGTGCTGACTCCAAAAGTGCTCATCCTCCTTTTCCTTGTTGGCACCAGGTGCTAGTAAATCTCTCAGTCTCCAGTTGGTCAAGGCAAGGAGCGAAGAGAATAGCTACCGGAACCGCCTCAATGACCTCAAGACGACTATGGAAAGAATCCGGGCCCTGGGCAGTCAGTATCAGAACCGAGTTCAGGATACTCACAGACTGGTCACTCAGATGCACCTGAGCCTGGAGGAGAGCGAGGCCTCCCTGAGAAACACTGTAGGTGCCGCCGGGTTCAGGGTACTGAGGATCACTGCCGTATCGGGGCACCCACCCGCCGTCTCTCACATTTTCCGGTCTACCTGGTAGAGAGCTGAACTTCTCTTCCTTGAAATAGGCGTACCCGTTCTTTGTGTTCTTGGGCTTCCTGCAATTTCCCATTTTACTGCATTTATGTTCTTCTTCCTAGCTCATTTCTTGTTAGCCATAACCTCATGTTGGCCCTCTCTCTTCTCCCTTCTTACTGCACACCTCCTAGCTTGTTAGCTCCTAGTGGGCAGGATTTAGTTTTGCTCACGTCTGCATTCTCAGCCCCCGGCACGTGTGTGGCTGTGATACGTTTGCCGCATGAATGAATGAAGGAATGAATGAGTGAATGTTCATTTCATGAACAAATGAAATGGGAGGAATGGTGGGGAGAAGGAAGGAATCCAGTGAAGACAGGATTCTGAAAAGGGGAAAAAATTGTTGCCAATGTGATTTTCTTAATGATGTCGTTTGGAGTGTGACAGGAGGGAGAGATTTGAATGGGCCCTCTTCTCTTTCTCAGTAAAGAAGGCAATGGTGACAAAAGTGTAAGTGGGTGGGTAGAAGATGAATAAAGGATATTGGAAGATAATCAGGTATGCTGGCAAAATGAAGGATTTAAAGAATAATGTGTATTGATTTTTTCCCCTTATTACAAAAATAATGTTTATTGTAGAAAATTTAGAAAATAAATAAAAATCCCCTATGATCCCATTATTAAGAAATAACCATCATTGAAACTTGGTATATAGTCTGTTGACTTTAAATACATATGAAAATACATTTAATATGTATATATTTTTAAATGAATCTTTTTTTTTTTTTAAGATTTTTTTATTTATTTGAGAGAGAGAGACTGAGAGAGAGAGCACATGAGAGGGGGGAGGGTCGGGAGGGTCAGAGGAAGAAGCAGACTCCCTGCCAAGCAGAGAGCCCGATGCGGGACTCGATCCAGGGACTCCAGGATCATGACCTGAGCCAAAGGCAGTCGCTTAACCAACTGAGCCACCCAGGCGCCCCTAAATGAATCTATTTCTATTTACAGTTTTTTTAAATTGGATTTCTACTTTATTCTTTTTTTTTAAAGATTTATTTATTTATTTATTTGGGAGAGCGAGCAGAGGAGGGGCTGAGGGAGAGGGACAGGGAAAGAATCTCAAGCAGACTCCCCACAGAGCAGGGAGCCCAGTGTGGGGCTCAATCTCACAACCCTGAGATCATGACCTAAGCTGAAATCAAGAGTCAGACGCTTAACTGAGCCACCCAGGAGCCCTGGATTTCTACTTTATTCTTGTCTATACCTTTTTTTTTAATGTAATGATTATGGTGACTAGGGACTCTTGATGTGTCAGAGTGTAGAATGCTCTGTGGTTAATGACAACTAGTTCTAACAGGACAGATGCAGAACCTACGTAGGCTCCAGGGCTGAGTGCAAAGCTTTAACCAATTCTCCTTTTTCCACAGAACATTCCTTCCTCGGAGCACTACGTGGGGCCAAATGGTTTTAAAAGCCTGGCCCAGGAGGCCACAAGATTGGCAGACAGGTAAGCAGACCCCTGCTTCGGACTACCTCTGCAAGGCCAGACTTGAACAAGATGGTAGGGTATTCAGGACCTAAGCAACATATTCATTACCTCTCGGCACCTTTGCAGCCCTTTCCTTGCCTTGAAGCCTTTTTTTTAAACCTCTTGGCTTTTAGCCTATGTAGGTGGCCACTGGGCATGGTCATTTGGCAAGTGTTGGGGTGGGGGTGTTTTTTACCCCAGATTTTTCTATGACTCACTCTATGGCTCTGGTGTATGTCAGATGTGATTTTTCGGGCCCCGTGAAATGAATCAGCCTTTGGAAAAAAACGTTCTGCAGCTTTGAGGGACTCCCAGGCTCCCACATCAAGCCTGGGAACAAGTAGCAACGAGTTGTTTGCTAGCCTGTGGGAGCCAAGACTGCAGAGAGGGAACCTCCTCCCCAAAACCGGCTCTGCAGGGCCCCAGGGATAACAGGCAGCTCCCTAGTCCTTGCCTGACTGTAAATCCTACCGTGTTAAAGAGGTTTGCTCCTGGCAGAGTGCTCAGCAGGGTGGCAGGCTCTGCTAATCCCAGATGGAATTCAGTCAGTGAAGGAGGTTGATTTGTGTTCTGTAGCATAAACTGCCTCCTGAGCTTGTTTTTTGTTGTTGTTTTGTTTGTTTTGATCACTTTGTAAGTGTTTGGGGGACTTTTATTGACAGGCTCTGTCCCCTCTAGTGGTGGACCCAATGTAGAGTTTCAGCAAAAGTGAGGGGAGAGGGGTGGGTCCCGGATGAAATAAGACCTAGGGGTTTCTTCCTGCACAAAACAGCTTATAAATACAATACTTTATCCCCCTGAGACTGCTCGCACCCGTCTCCCCGCCCACACCCTGCTCCCCTGGTTACGCCATGAACGGAAAAGATCACCAGGTAGGGTCTAAGACACGAGCTCCATCTCCAGCACACCTCCTGCTTCCTGACAGATCCTGTAATTCCGTCTAATCTGGGTCAATTCTGTTTGGTTTTTGTAGACAAACCAGTTCCCTTACTCCTCTCCCTTCCTTCCAATAAAAGACCTAAAGGAAACCCTTGCTATGAAAACTCCAATTCTTTGTTTTTAATCCTTTCAGCCATGTTGAGTCAGCCAGTAACATGGAGCGGCTGGTAAGGGAAACCGAGGACTATTCCAAACAAGCGCTGTCACTGGCACACAAGGCCCTGCAGGAAGGAGGCGGCATGGGCAGCCCGGACGGCTCCGCGGTGCAAGGGCTCATGGGAAAGTACGTTCGAGGGGTCCTCACCTGGGCCTAGATAATCCGCGTCCCTCCAGGGTGTAGCGCAAACCACGTTCGAGGGGCACCGTGCTTCATTAAAAGATATTAATCCTAAGGGACGAGAGAATGAGAGTGTTAATTTGGGGGAAGAGACATGCCTTTATGTCTGGAAGAAGAAAGGACTGATTAAGTAACACTTGTGTTTTGACTGAGAGATTGCAATGCTCGGAGAAGTTGTGGTGGTTGAGTAAATGGAAAAGAATATATTATCAAGAATTGGGAAACTTGGGCGGAATTCTTCCAACCCAACCTGTATAAACTTTAAGGCTTATGTTTAGTTTGTGGAGAGGGACACATATCTGTCACATAACCTCATTCGGTTCTTCTGGTAACTCCAACTGCATACTTTTTACACAACAAGATGAATGTTTTTTTTTTTAAAGATTTTATTTATTTATTCATGAGAGGCAGAGAGAGAGAGAGAGAGGCAGAGGGAGAAGCAGGCTCCCAAGGAGCAGGGAGCCCGATGCGGGACTCGATCCCAGGACCCTGGGATCATGACCTGAGCCGAAGGCAGACGCTTAACCATCTGAGCCACCCAGGCGCCCAAGATGAATGTTTTTTAATAAAAAGAGTGATTCCTCAAAGTTCTCTTTCTCCCCACCCTGCAGGTTGGAGAAAGCCAAGTCCCTGGCCCAGCAACTGTCGGGGGAGGCCACTCAAACTGACATTGAAGCAGATAGGTCTTATCAGCATAGTCTTCGCCTTCTCAATTCCGTGTCTCAGCTGCCAGGAGTCAATGATCAGGCTTTTCAGGTGAGGGCATGTACTGATGTGCTTGATGGACAGAAGAAGGGCCACAGTGCTTGCTTCTCTGGGGGTTCCATACTATGGTTCAGTCATTCAGCTTTTCCTCCACGGGGACCTTTCTTGTGTTTGATTAGGAAGAATATCCTTCTTGTTAACCATTTCCTTGTTCTTAAACTCCAGTCTCTGCCTCTGAAAAAGCCTTAGCCCACATCCTGAACCTATTAGTGGATAACAATTTTATATCTCCTTAGTTTTGGGGACTACTGAAACTTGTGGGAAATTATTAGAGATAAAGCTTGATATTTACATTTGGGTCCAAACTATAGTACATTTCTATGTACAGCCATTCAGAAGACTTTTGTTCTTCTCAGAAGTTTTACATTGTTTCTGTCATTGATTCCTTTAACTATTACAAATGTATTAGATTAAGAAGATTCAGCTTTCTACCTATGCAAAAAGCACTCACAATGATTCCCATAAAAGTGTTTCCATGCATGGATAAACCAACATGTAAAATTTAAAAAGAGAGAGAGAGAGACAAGACCTGTTTGATGCTGGGGGAAACTGCCACCTGACTATCATTTAGGCATTTTGCTTCATTTCTATTAAACTTTGTGTCTGGATTGCTGTTGTTTTCAAGCTCCTAAGAAGGCTGGTGTGGCGACTGGTGGGCAGAAAGTCAGACTCCTTCATGTCTTTGGGCTTACAGGTAGAAGTGAAGAGGATCAAACAAAAAACTGACTCTCTCTCAAGCCTGGTGACTAGGCGTATGGATGAGTTCAAGCATGTGCAAAGCAGTCTGGGAAACTGGGAAGAAGAAACCCAGCAGCTCTTACAGAATGGAAAGAGTGGGAGACAGGTATCCTTTTATTAACTCATTCACTCAACCAACAGGTACTGGATGCCTACCATATGAATAAATATGGCAAGAGGCCATAAATATGCAACCCTAGGAAACTCTCTGAAGGTCATGGTACCACTGCTTGTAGATGGAGTAACTGAGATACAGACAGCTTGATGTAATTAGTTCTGTTCTACCCACTGAATCAGCCCTCAAGCCTAGGAATAGGACTCAGGCCTCCTGAGTTCAGTTTTGGTCCAGCTTTTTCTACTAGCTTGGCTTTAGGAAGTATCTAGAGTATAAAATTGTGATTTGCAAAACTGTACTTGTCCTTGATAGTGGACTGGAATTTGAGACTGTTCCCTATACAGGATGTGTCATTGGTTTATAAAGTTTGCTCTGTCCCAGATTGTGGAGGGCTTTACGACAGCACCCCTAGGCTTTCTGGTGAATCACAGCACTCATTTGTCACGAACAGAAATGTGTTCGAGTGATTCTGCTGGCCAGAATGCTCCTCCTAGGTGTATGTTACATTTTAATTTTATTGTCTGCCTGTTTACAGACATCAGATCAGCTACTTTCCCGTGCCAACCTTGCTAAAAGCAGAGCCCAAGAAGCACTAAGTATGGGCAATGCCACTTTTTATGAAGTTGAGAACATCCTAAAGAACCTCAGAGGTAAGCATTTCATGGTTCAGGTCACTTGATGTGTTAAAGGAATAACCACAACTTTGATTTATTTTGAATCCCTGTGCATCTCTCTAAATGATAGGTACATTGGGATATTAACAGACACTTAATAAATACCTTCCTAAAGTAAGAAATTGTATTAATATTTGATGTAGTGGAAAGAATTTAACTAGATGTCAGAAGGCTTGAGTTCTGAGCTTGGCTGGGCCGCATGACAGCTCTGAGCAGACTGTGTGACCATGGGCAAGTCACAGCCTTTCCAGACCCTAACATCCTCTTCTTTAAAGAAAGAAGGTTGAGCTAAAGGATCTCTAAGATCCTTCACAGATCCAACATCCTACTACGACACAGATATTTTTCCCTTTTCTTTTGTAGCCTGGTTGATTCCAGGATAAAATCCATGTGGTTGTTTGTGGTGATGATAGAACAAACTGTCACAGCATCTGGATCCCAGGAAATCTGGGTTTCTGCCTTGTAGAGATTTGGTTACAATTTCAGGTTTTTTCACGAAAGAACAAAAAAAGAAACATTTCTCAAGTCTTGGGATTTTCTTCACAGAAAGAACCTCTCTATCCATTCTGTTCAACCTCCAATTCTCATCATTGGCAGCTTCGGGTTTAAGGCTCTGGCTTGAAACTTTGGGCTTCAGAGATTTCACCTATGTCTGATTTACTTTGGGGTCTTCATACTCTTGCAGTGGTGGGGACCCAGGGCAGGCTGATTGTCAGTTTCTCTAAGCAACGATCTAATCATGGCCCTTTCAGTGCCTCCTTTAAGTGGCTTTCTGCTGGATAAGAAAGGGCAGTAACAGCCACAACTTCCCACACTCTTGCCCCCAGGCAGTAATAACCCTCTTCCTGGGATTTTTCTTAAAAACTTCAGCCCCATCCAATTTCATTTGTAAGTTTGACAAGTCACTTTTGTTTCCTTGTCTTCATTTCAGAGTTTGACTTGCAGGTTGAAGACAAAAAAGCAGAAGCGGAAGAGGCCATGAAGAGACTCTCCTACATCAGCCAGAAGGTCGCAGATGCCAGTGACAAGACCAAGCAAGCAGAAACAGCCCTGGGCGGTGCTGCTGCTGACACCCAGAGGGCCAAGACCGCAGCCAGGGAGGCCCTGGAGATCACTGACAAGATAGAACAGGTAAAGAGAAATCGAAACACAGGTTGGCATGAGCAGCCCCAAACATAAGGGTCGTGTGGGCAGAGAGAGAGCATCGGGCTCATTGTGGCCCCTAGATCTCAGAGTGCTGTCGTGGTTCATGGCAGCCCCAGAGCCATTTACGTGCCCCCTTTTGTTGGTTGAGTCACAAGGCTTTCATTGACCAAGAGCTCGAACCTTCATTTTCAGCTCCCTTTTTGGACAATACCATGAGAAGAACCATCCAAGATTGGGTTTTTGTATCAACTCTTATATTAGTGTTGCTAGAGCTGCTGTAACAAGTACCACAGGCTAGATGGCTTAAGACAACAGAAAGTTATTCTCTCACAGTTCTGGAGGCTAGAAGTAGAAATCAAGATGTCAGCAGAGCCACAGGCCCTTGGAGGCTCTTGGGTAGAAACGTTGCCTGCTTCTTCCTAGCTTCTGGTGGTGACTCTCACTCCTTACCGTTGCTTGGTTTGCAATGACATCACTCCAGTCTCTGCCTCTGTCATCACGTGGGGTTTCTCTGCCTGCATATCTCTGACCCTTCTTATAAGGACAGTGGTCATTTTGAATTAGGGGCCCACTGGACTCCAGTATAACCTTATCTTAAGTAATTGAATCTGCAACAACCCTACTTCCAAATCAGGTCACGTTCTGAGGTCCTGGGATTTAGGACATGAACATATCTTTTTGAGGACACAGTTCAACCCCATAACAACAATCATCAGTGTTTGACTCAAGATTATGAAATTCTGGAGTTCTAGTTCCCTTATCTCTATTTTCTATGTCTAAGCTCTGCGTATTCATTTTTGTTGTTGTTTCCACTATGTGCCAGCGCTGTGCTTGATGCTGGAGATATGAAGATGAGAAAGACCCAGTCCTTCTCTTCAAAGAGCATTCCGTGTAATGGGGAGAGATAGACTAGATACACTACAACCCCTATGTGAAATGCTGTAGTAGAAGCTGTGCTTCTCGGCTAGAAGAGAGCTGCTTAGCTCTCATTTTGGCATGACTTCTAGAAAGCTTATGCAACTCTAGAAAGCTCAGGGGGAACTCTTAGTATCTGGACTATTTGACCTCTCTCTTGGACCACTTGGTAATTTGCAAGAATAATTTCTAACTTTAAGTCCCTTGAGGGTGGAGACCAGTTTCATGTGGCTCTCTTAATATAGCTTTTAGCACAGAGATACCTGCAATTTGATGTTTAATAACAGCTTATGGGTAAAGATATTGATAAAATTTGTCCTAATAAAAACAAAAGCCACAGCTGTAGCCCATTTTCATTCTCTGCACCTTGAACTCAACTGTCTCAAGGATCCCAGCAAAGTTGCTCAAATGACTGTGGCCGCAAAGAACTATGACAGGAAATGATGTGAATTTCTCACCCTCTGGGTTTTCCCAAATAGTTTTTATCGCGTTCACTTTTTGGTGAGCATTGACCTGTGAGGGAATCAGTGTCTCACTGCTGACCCTCCTAGTCCCTACAGACATACCCCCAAATTAATTTATTTGAAGCAGAGCTTGGGGAAGGGTGTGTCTCCAAGTCTGACTCTTGTTGTTCATCTAACTTACTCCAGCAGGGTCTGGCTGCAGCTGTTTATTTTTTCTCTATTTGTCCCTGGGACGTTTTTGTGCCTCACCCCTCTCTCTCCTCCCGTCCCTGGCTCCCTTTCTTTTCCCAGGAGATAGGAAGTCTGAACTTGGAAGCCAATGTGACGGCAGATGGAGCCTTGGCCATGGAGAAGGGACTGGCCACACTGAAGAGTGAGGTGAGGGAGGTGGAAGGAGAGCTGGCCAGGAAGGAGCAAGAGTTTGACCTGGATATGGACGCAGTGCAGATGGTCAGTTCCCATCGTTCTCCATGGGAGATTCCTTTAAACCGCCAATATGAGAGACACCCTTTCAAGATTGCTTTCTATTTCTTTTTCTTCAGGTAATTACAGAAGCACAAAGAGTTGATAACAGAGCCAAGAATGCTGGAGCTACGATCCAAGACACACTCAACTCATTGGACAGCATCCTACACCTAATAAGTATGTGGAGTATCCACAAACTTCCAGCCCCGTGCTCCAGGGCTGCTCCCAGAGGACGAGTGAGACCTAGCCCTGATAAATGGAAGCCTTAAGGGTACCCTTAAGGGTATCAGAAATTTGTTTTATTTCTAGGCCCAGATACTTTGGGCACACAACTGTACATTTTCTGGACTCTATTTTACCATCTAAAGTTGGGTCACTGCGTACCTGTTGCCCTTGGAGGTGAAAGTCTTTAGCTCAAAGATCTGGGTGTATTTAGGGAAGGTATATTGAAACACGCAGAGGTTAGTCATGTCTCACTGATCCCATAGTAAACTGTGGAGGCATATTCAAACTTCACAGCTCAAGAGAAGACGGGACAGTTTAACAGTCCTGCTAAGGATTCTGACCTTGATCCTGAGAAGCTTGTAGGCAGTTGTGGGCAGAGGAATAACATCATCACCGAAGATTCAGAAAGATCACTAAGTGGAGTTGCACGAGTGAGTGGAGGAGCCTTGGTTAGACAAAAGGCAGGGTGAGACCACTTTGGAAATGGCGGAGGGAATCGAGGAGGGAGATGACAGAGCCTGGGCTCTGTGGCAGTAGAAATGGTGAGAGGGGAGTTCTCCCAGCCTGTGAAGTCAAGAGTCACTTGCCGATTCTGCTGTTTGTCCCCAGCCCACAGTTATACCATGATATAACCAGCTGTGGGACTTGGCCTACCTGGCTGATAGCCCAGAAGAAATGTAAAGGTAGTAGGTACATGAGATACTGCAAAATTTTCAAGTAAAATAGATGTGATGGCACAGGGTGGCAAGAATTCAGATTTACCCACAGAATTCCTCCCCCGCAAAAAAAACTGATGAGGATTAACATTTCGGATTGGTAAATCTGATAGCAAACCCTCATTCGGCCTGTTTTATCAAGCGTGGACTGCAGCAGATAGGGAACAAAGGATTCAGTCACAGATTCCAGCCACATTCCGGAAAAGGCTTGGTTCTACCTTTTAGGTTCAGTAGAACAACTTTACTTTTTTCTTTAAGATTTTTATTTATTTATTTATTTTGAGAGAGAGCACACAAGCAGGGGGAGGGGAAGAGGAAGAGGAAGAGGGAGAAGCAGACTCCCCGCTGAGCAGGGACCCTGACATGGGGCTCGGTCCCAGGACCCTGGGATCATGACCTGAGCCGAAGGCAGACGCTTAACCAACTGAGCCACCCAGGCGCCCTAGCTGAAGAATTTTAAAATCTGATTTTCGGGCGCCTGGGTGGCTCAGTCATTAAGCGTCTGCCTTCAGCTCAGGTCATGATCCCAGGGTCCTGGGATCGAGTCCCACATCGGGCTCCCTGCTCGGCGGGAAGCCTGCTTCTCCCTCTCCCACTCCCCCTGCTTGTGTGTTCCTGCTCTCGCTATCTCTCTCTCTCTGTCAAATAAATAAATAAATAAATAAATTTAAAGAAAAAAAAATCTGATTTTTCTGTGGAGTACCATCCTCACTTACCCTGGGAGATCAATATTGTCTGTGTTGTTATACTAATGAGTCTGCTTTGTGGTCCAATGAGCCCTAAAGAGTAAAGAGCCTCTAAGGGTAAAAAAAACAACAACAAAAAACCCCAACTCCCCAGTGGAGATTTTAGCAGCTTTGTTTAATGTTCTGAAAAAGGTAATGAAATGAATAGGGCCTTTCAAGAGAAAATGAGAGTGTGGGGGAAATAAGTTGGTGGGAATCATTAAACATTTACTAGGTGTCAGGCACTCTGCCAGGTGTTTTCTGGTGTAATATCACTTAAGTCTTTTAAAGGTCCTGTGAGACAGGTTTTATTTTTTTTTTATTATTTTATCTCACGGAGCAGTAAACTGAGGCTCAGAGAGGTTGATAGGGTCCCATGGATCACACAGTAAACTTGGAGGTGGGATTCGAAGTGAGATCTCTTTGTTGCCAGTGCCCCCGCCCCTTTTTTGAGCAGTTTGTACCGCCTCTCCATGGACATGGTGGTTTTGTTCCCAAGCTTACTTAACTTTCTCGGCATGTCATAGACCCTGAAGTGCTGGAAATCTCCCCTGCTCCTCGGTGAAGGACCGATCCACTGGATCGGCATTTTTGTTATGGTGTTGTTTCTCCTGTTTGCTCCCTGGAGTCCTGGACCAGTCACCATGTCATCACCCCCAGGCACAATAAACTCGGGCAGGCAAATGCTATCACCGCAGCTCCGATATGGGAGGCAACCTGACCTTGAGTTTGAATTGACCAAAGGCCACCCAGACCCTATGCACATCAAACAGGTTTGGCCAGGTGCCCTTCGTGCTGACATTAGTTTTAGATTGTGTATGGGTAAAACATACCTGAACAAATAAGACTACATTTCATATGGGAAATAAACGAATATCTAGCCAGATTCCCACTGTCTCAGGCCAGAATGAAGTCTTACATCATTTCCAAACAGCTGGAATCTATCCCCCAAATAGCAAAGCATACCTTGGCCTCTATAAACCCAAAAGCCCAGCCAGTTTCTAAAGGTCTTCTAATGGAAAATAGCAAGATATTTCCTAAGGGTAGTTCAATAAACATAATTTGGAGTTGGTCCTGATCCGAGGGTGAGCTGTGTAGGGAGGGCATCTTGGACAGTACTCAGTCTCCAGTGACCTTCAGCCTTCATCCTTTCAGAGCATGCACTGTCGGCCCCAACGTGAAAGGAGAAATCCAAGCTTCCCATTTCTTAACTATAGAGCTCAGAGGTTTGAACTGGACTGTTCATAACTAGTAACTAGGCTAGAGCTCTTGGAACATTTTCTGTATTATCTATATTATATTGTGGTCCAAGTGTAAAATATCCCAGTGTAAAATAAGGCTTTTATTTATTTGTTTTTTATTTTAAGTAAACTCCACACCACCCGTGGGGCTTGAACTCACAACCCTGAGATCAAGAGTCACATGCTCCACCGCCTGAGCCAGCCAGATCCCCCTAGAATAAGCACGGCATACTGTTTCCTCTGGGCAGGTGGAAACAGGAACTAGTTAAGGGTCTAGAGGGCCCACGTGTGTTCAAGGAGATCTAACCCCAGCTCTTCTATATTAACTCTTTTCTCATTCCCTCAAATAGGTCAGCCTGGCAGTGTGGATGAAGAGAAGCTGATCTTATTGGAGCAGAAGCTCTTCCGGGCCAAGACTCAGATCAACAGCCAGCTGAGGCCCTTGATGTCAGAGCTGGAAGAGAGAGCACGTCGGCAGCAGGGCCACCTCCACGTGCTGGAGATGAGCATAGATGGGATTCTAGCTGACGTGAAGAACCTGGAGAACATCAGGGACAACCTGCCTCCAGGCTGCTACAATACCCAGGCTCTTGAGCAACAGTGAATCTGCTCTAGAGATTTCCCAACTGAGGTTCTTGGGATGCATAATTCAGGAGCCATCTCATGTGGTTGGGGTGGGATGGAGACATTTGAACATGTTGAATGGGCATGCTCAGGTCCACTGAACCTGACCCCATCCCTGAGATCTTGGCCAGATAAATGTCTTGTTACACCAATGTGATACTACTTGGGCAATGAGGCAGATAGCATTGGGTATGAGACTGGCCAAGGGCCTGGACCCCGAAGGGTAGACTGGACGGAAGGACAAGCTGCACGGCCAGGTGTTTGCCTCAGGAGAGTCACAGACTGAGTCCTGGAGTATGGACAGATGCTGCTGGGCTAGAGTCAGCTTATTTTTTGGGTAATGTGACCAACGGAATTTTTTTTTTTTTTTTTTTTTTTTACTTTGCCCACCCAGAAAATTCTTCTCAATGTCTGAACAGAGAGTGAAGTCCAGTCACACTGTGGCCAGTAAAATACTATTGCCTTATAGTGTCCAATGCAAGCTTCTTGTTGACCAGAGTTCCTCCCACTTACCACCCAGTTTGTGAACATGTGCTCTACTTTTAAGCTGGAAGAAGTGAACAGTGGTGGAGTGAGAGGCTGTAAGGCTGGTCCATTTGGAGCAATGGTGCCTGCTTGGGTCCTGCCACCTTTGAGTTCTGGGGCCTGGAAGTGACATCCTTTCTCCGGTGATGCCATGACTAGTTAGAGACTACATTTTTATTAAAGCATTTCCGACCAGCAAAACAAACTTTGGGAAGGTATTTACTTTTGGGTTTCAAAGTGATAGAAAAATATAGCTTGGGCATTGAAAGAAGTACAATTATCTAGAAGATTTATTAGTCCTTATTCGATCCCACTTTTCAAATGCTAAAAATTGTATGTGTCTTTGTGTTTTATTTTCTCACTCTCTCTGCCTATAGCAGAGAATGTTCCTACTCACACTGGAGCCGGGTAGACTCCATCCTTCCATCCATCCATCCATCCATCCATCCTTACAACATATATTTATTGAGTCCCTGCTGTGTGTCAGGGGCTGGGGTACAGTGGTGACATAGTCTCTGCCCTCACAGAGTTGATTGTCTAGTAAGGAAGACAAACATTAAAAAAATAAATTTAAAGGTACAACTCTTGTTCATCACAAGTGGTTTTTATTGCAATAACCCCCTGGTTTGCAACCTCATTTCTCAACAGAACATATGTTGTAAGACACTCCCAGGGGGGCACTTGGCTTTTGGCAAAGCCGGGATGGCTCTGGGTTGTGCACACTTCTTTGCATTCTAGCTGTCACTCCTCCCCTTTCCACACCTGATTGCAACAGACTGTTGAGTCATGATTACACCAGTGGGAATTGCTGGAAAGACCAGAGATGCTTCCATCTCGTCTTGGAAGATGTTGGTGCAGGCTCGCCTTTGTACTTCCTTGGCTTTTCATGGATGTGTTTTTGAATAAAGAATAATTCTTAGATGCCTGTGGTCAGTTTCTAACTTGTCAAACTCTTAAGTCTAAGATGGAGGTACCAAAGCAATGGAAACTAAAGTGCCCCAGAAATAGCAATGAGTCCTAGAGTTCACATTTTTCTGAACATCGTTTTGCCCTTTCCAACCATTAGAGCACTTTATATGAGTTAATTGGTGCTATCTCCTCAGCATAAAGAAGGATTTATTTCTGGAACAACCTGAACAGGGTGGGGTTTTAATTAATATTTTTGTCTTTTTTTCTTCGGCTATGAAATTAAGGTAAAATCAATAGTTTGTTGTACAGTGTCATGCTTTTTAATAAATAAAAATCTAATAAATTAAGATCCTGAATTGGCCATCTAGCCAAGTGGCTGAGGAAAAGATTCTGTTCCTGTCCACATTAACCCCACAAATTCTGAGAGGTCTGATCACTTTGCTTTACCTTCTGTAGAAGTGAATTTATAATCCTGTCTTGGCATGCTCAACCACATGTCCTATAAATCTCTCACTGTAGTTAACAATTAGTGCCCAGGAAATGTATATGTATTAATTAGATTAGATTAACTACTATGTCACATAGACCTAAAAATGTACATTACTCAAACACAGGAGACATTTTTCTTGCTCTCATAACAGATGGGGAGAAAGTCGGTAGGGTGACCCTCTGCATGGTCATTCCAGAACCTTGCCATTTACAACATGTGACTTCTAAGGTTGCCCTGGGAATCATTTCCATTCCAGTGATTAGAAAGGGAAAAAGACATGGAGGTGGGAGACACCTGGAAGGTTTCCGTGGGCTAGGCCTGGGAGGGGATGCACATCACTTTCTCTCACGTTCCATGGTCCAGAACCCAGTTTTATGACCACATCTGACTTGCAAGGGGTCTGGGAAATACAGCCCCTTGGTAAGAAGCCATGTCTCAGTGACAATCCTACTCTATGAAAGGGGATAATTCATTAGAATGCATAGCTAGTGATTGGCGTCTGTCTCTGCCAAGTATGAGATTAAGCAGTGTATGTTCTAGGGAACTTGGTGAGGGATTCCATTAGTTAATAGCATGCAATCATAAAGGGATTCCTCAATGGAATAAATTGTTAAGAAGGTCATAGAATGTCTTCCCTGATAAATGGGAGATGATCTCTAAATAGAGATGGGAAGTGGAAAAGTGACTCATATGACTCCCTTGGTATGGACATGATTCCCTCATTTTTGAGGACCTGACAAATTATCCCTAAGAAGAGAGAGGAGTGTGTGGCTGAGAGATAGCCTACTCAGGACTTAGCCTCTGTTGCCAGTCTTGTCCTACTCTGTCAAGTTAAGAGAGCTGTCCTTCCGCGTTCTCATCAGTATTTCTAACTGGTAGTGAAAAACTCCTTTGAACTTCTCCCCTGAGAGCTTTCTGATTAATTGTGCTGCTGGTAGGCCATTATGCATATCATCATCTACTTTGACTCATAGGGATTTCTGTTTAGAGGGGGGTAGGAATGAACCTGCCCATAGGCCATGGCTTCTTAGCAGATGTATTTCTGATCTTATCCCAGGATGTGGTTTCTTGTCAGTACTCTTGGGAGGCCAGGGAAAAGGGGAAGAAGATGCTCAGTAATGTCCAATGTTTGGAATGAGGCTCAAGGGCTGGGATATATTTATTATGTCTTCTTTCAATGTTTTTGCATGGTCATGGGAGCGTTGTGGATTCTTGCTGTGGCTCAATTTTGCCACCTGGAAAATAGAGATTAGGTTTTTTTTTTTTTTTTTTTTTCTGCTTTCTTTATTCTATGGGCTACATGGAACTTCCTAAGAAATTCCAAGACCTGAAGCTTACTTATGGGTCATAAGGGAAGAAGTGTGTATGTACATGTATATTAACTCATAGTTAGTACATATATTTTATAAGTTAATGTAAGTTAGCAAATTAAACCAGTGTTTATGCCCAATTTTAAACAAGCTTTCAACATTACATACTCTCAGGACAGAGAAAAAAGTGTTTAGGTTTGTGGCCAAAATAGCAAACGTAAACACAAGTAATCAATTTACAAGGCATATCAAGCATCATTACGATGGGCCACCAAACCCAGATGGACACGCACAAAGCTAACTAATTCCAATCTTAAACAATAACAACAAAACACATAGTAAGGACCAAAGTGATTTTTTTTAAAAGCACAGCTAATCTGACAAACAAGTGGCTAAGTCCTAAATGAGGGGCCTAAAGGGGAATTGCTATTTTACCATCTGAATCACGACTGATACTAGCTAATGACAACCACCACTTGGATCTATACCAACACACAATGCATGTCACAACTACAAATGAAATAAGAACTAATAGAGCAGAACTGAGCAATTAACAAATTATTCATTTTTTTTGCTTGTTTACACTGCCAAAACTGTGAGTTTAATGATTTGTCTTAAGATCTTTTATACCAAAAGTGAGTTATACAAGTTTAGTTTTTACAAATACATTTTTGCTTCATAAAGAACTAATTTCATTAGTGAGCCAACGCTAACCAATAGGAGACTATGAAGATTAGGTAGGTTCTAAGATTCAATTTTTAATTGAAAATTCTTAGGCACAGTTCACAAATTTGTTAATTCTTCTTCCCTACCTATGATTCTTGGGCGTGGCTGTACATACTTTCATATCACACACGTGGCATCAGCTAAACCATGCAGAAAATCTGCTCTAAGAACATTTTTGCAACTGTTGGCTCCCGTCAAGTAAGACTATGACAAAAAATTATTAATTCTGCAACTCGCAGAGAAGATTCTGGACAGACACAGGACTAGTAGCATTGTCTTATTTATTAATGTAATTCAAACATTTTGCTGATAAAACTTTTGTCCATGACTATCCTAGCAACAAAATTTTACTCAAAATATTTCACTATGAAATGGTGTTGCAACTTCAATGTAGTTTTTATTAATGAATTGATTTTCATAAAGCAAATCTTACTCTTAAAATGGTAGGTTCAGTGACCAAAAGCGATTAAAAAAAAAGCTTCCCCCCTCCCCATGCCAATCCTTGAGACTGTTCAGATCAAACTGAGTTCTGGACCTGGGCTAGACTGAAGGGAAAGAGTGTAGCTCATTCCCAAGTAACTAGAACAGGCTAATAGGACACCCAAACTGACACGACCAAGAAACCACATAAAGAATTGAGTTCACTGGGCAGCTCTAGAAAGGTGTAGACCGGATGAATCTGACCGAGAGCATGGGCTCCTTCACCACAATGCTATTCCTCGGGTATCCTAATTGGAAGAGCTACAAAATCAGTCCCTGTTTCCATCCTCCCCATCTCACCTGTAGGCCTTCCTGTGGTACCTTGGGAGAGATCCTGAGCTTTTCAAATTCTACGGATTTTTGCATCACTCTTTTGATGAATGGAATTACAATAACATGCTTCTCTCTCTTAGTCCCCTAAAGTGTGTGTTTATAGCAGTTTGAGAGAGTAGATTTGGGTTGCTAAAATACAGTCATCTCTCCCTATAATTCTCTGCCTTTTGCTGCAGTTTGATTACTGAGTCTCACTTTCTACTTAATTAGAACAGCGAGTTCTTCTATTCTTTCTGAGAAGCTGAAGTATGAGACCAGAAAACGCTGGGAAGTTTCGCCACGTGGAGATGTAAGAAGAGCGTCTCTAGAAGCTCTAGCTCTGGGTTTCAGGCACTTCAGTAAGAGACTTTCCTCCCCTGTTCCTATGTACATTCAAGGAAAATGAAAGCAAGAAGGCCCCAGAGACTGCCTGGGGGAGGGGGCGGCAAATGAGGTACCGGGTAGCCTGTCGGGTAGCAGCACAGGGCTCCCCAGAGGGCCACTCATTGAGGAAGAGTCATTGGCACAAAGGGTTTCCCTCCTGCCTGTTCTTACTCATATCAGCCACTTTCAGAAGAGCGGGAGAGATGTTCTTCATTGGTAGGCAGGAAATGAGGCTCCTGACCCCTCTTAACATGATCATTGCAGCCCATGCCTTTCTCCCAATCTCAGAGCCATGCCAGCCTTGAGTTGGCCTTTGGAGGAAGAAGGGGGACCCCAGAGGGGAAGTCAGGGACTAGAGGTCATCCTCATGGCACCTGGGGCACTACTTCAGACTCTGAATCTTTCTGGTGCTACCCTTTGCAGGATCACAGCCACAATGTCCTGCCCTGGACTGAGAGAGGGGGCTCTACCCTCCCCCTAGCAAATGAAGAATGGCGCAGGTTGGGGAATGGACAATTCTACCCAAAAGGAAATTCACTTTTTCTTATATTTAAGGAAAGCTATTTTAATACAATCCCTGTGATCCACCAAGATAAGATCTGCCCCATTTCATGCCAGACATCTTCTAATGACCCTGTTCTTTTCCTTCCTGTGCACCTTCCCACCCCCACATGAACTGCATACAGCCAGCCTGGTTCCCTCTCATGGGCTGTGGACTAAATGCAGCCTGACCACAGAACCCAGCAGAGTAATAGGGTGCATCAAAGAGACAAAAAATGTTTGGTTTCTCTTGGATCTGCTCATGTAGATCCTCATAATAAACTCTAACCGTAGATAACCTTCACATCCTTGAAAATGTCACGTTCCCCTAGGGATCCGTTTCCCTCTTTTCTTTTCCTGGCTTAGGACTGCTTTGCCCAAAGTCTCTTCTGTCTCTCTGTCTCTGTCTCTGTCTCTCTCTCCAGTGTCATCTTGAGCACTTGAGGTCTTTCCTAGCCTTCCATAGAGCATCCTTTCTTGGATTCAGAGGGTCACTATATGGGATTTTCTCTAAGCCGCTGAGATCTCTTGATTTCTGAGGGAAACCTAGCTATGGCCTTCCTCCCCATCACACCCCTCCTCCCTCAAGACTGGCATATGCAGTGCCATCTATAGGAGCACCCGGGTGAGACATAATTTAAGAGAAAGATGCCAGGTAAGGGCTGAAAAGAGAAGAAGCCACACGTTACCTGGTCAGTATTATGGGGAACTGGGGGACAGAGATCATGCGGTACGATGCCCTAAGGGTCAGGGAAACAATATCCTTTTGCCAGGCTCTACACTTGCCGTGTAACCTTGGACCAGCCATTTAATCCAGTGGATCTCTGCTCCCTCATCTTTTAAAGGAGAATGTTGAATCAACTAATCTCTGAAGGGTTTTTTTTTTTTCATTTATGATTCCATGATCTTTAACCAAACATTGAGACCCAAGAATAGGTTATTCATTCCCCCCTCTGAAGGTTATTTCCATAATCCAAAAGTAATAATACGCTCCTGGATGCTACTTGAACATGCTCTTCTGTTGAATCCAGTTCCTTTTCCTGGAGGCTATGGAAGACTGTCACAGATGTAAAATATGTACTGAAGAATGGTGTCCCCGATGTCAGGTCTCACCCCACCCCTCCTGGGCATAACTGGTACTAGATTTTGATAAAAATATCCTGTTGCTCAGGGACCCATTCCATGAAGACAACCAAAAGCCCAAGAGCCAGGGACTAGATGAGAGACACAGCATAAGAGAATAATTTCCTTTTGGCTCTCAACACAGGGCATGAGTGAGACCTGAACAACTAGAACAGTCTGTCAGAACTGTTTCCAGGAACAGCGGAGGAAGGTAAGAAATTAGAAAAAGGATGAAACAATTTAGTGCCCTCCCAACCATGATCTCTGTTCTGTGAACCCACTCCCCTGCCAGACAGAATTCCTCAGGCAATGACTATGGTTCTGGGCTCTGCAGGAGATATGACCAGCTCCAGAAACAAGACTGAGGTACTGTGTCTCAAGAAGAAACTGACCTCAGGCACTGCAGCGAGAGTGGGTGAGAACCATCAATTCCCTTCAGGGCAACAAGCCTCTCTCTCCTTGGTCATCTTGGACGTACATCATGACAGAAAAATTTCCCAGCCAAACAGGCAAGAAATAATTCCAATTAGCAAAGATCTCTAGGGTTGAGTGAATTCCTAGCATGTTTTATTTCAGAAATGGCTGCATTATTAGGATTTGGCCTTGAATAGGTGATTCTTCTCAGATGCAGGAATGTGGCTAGGTAGGACCTCCAAGGGCTTAGGTGGTGACCTGAAGGTTCCTTGGAAATGCTGGGCTGGCAGGGAACCCACTCTGCCATTAGTCACAACCCAAAGGAGGAACCATACAGACGCCACCAGGACATGAGGATGGACTGGATCTGTGTGATCACAGGCCCAGAGCATCGGGACAATGGTCTTCTGAAATTAAGGAAATGGACACAAATTCTTCTGAGAAACCCTACTATTCCCAGACCTGCCTCCCAGGTTTTGGAACCTGAAAGCCTCTGTCCTTAGCCTAGTCGGCAGCTGCGGTGCGTGCGGGTTTGTGGGGCGTGAGTGGGCAGGTGGGGGGTGTTGGGAAGGTGGAGGCGGCTTGGCCTTCTTTACTGGGGGTGGCTCTCACGCTGAGGCTGCCTACGCTATCCTATCGAACGGGAAGTTACCACCACAGGAATGCATCAAGACTACAAACACAAAGAACCACAGACACAGGTTTCATCCAAATTCTATGAGGAGTGAAGAACAACAACAACAACAAAACAAAACAAAAAAACAAAAAACAAGAGAAGAAAAGAAAGAAAAAAATAGCCCTTCGTGTAAAGGGCATGCTGGGAAGGCGAGAGCCAGAGCCGCCTCCCCAGAGCATGCTGGGAGGACGGGCCCCGGAGCCGCTCTCTAGAGCATGCTGGGAGACAGACACCAGCACGTCTCCAGGGGCTGCGCTCCCCCCAACTCCCACCCCTGTTCCCTCACCCACCCCCGACCCAGAGACTAGAGGAGAGTCCGTCCAAAGATGACTGCTGAAGAGGGTATGCTGTGGTTCTCTGCAGGTCCCCCACACTGTGGAGGGTTGAGTCAGCAAGTGGGGAGAACAGTCAAGATGAGGAGATGGAGAAACAGAGAGGCAGGAGGAAAACGGGGGGACTGACAGAGCCTGGAGGGGCCAGTGTGTCGGCGGAGGACGAGGGCAGAGTGGAGCGTGGGGCCGTGTGGCTGCTAGCCCGAGGCGTTGATGTAGAGCTGGCTCTTGAGAATGTAGTCGATGACCGGCTGGGACAGGTAATCCACCACGTGGCCGTCCCCATGCTGCAGGGCCAGCCTGGAGGAGAAGAGACGGTGGTCAGATGACACCTTCCTTGACCAAGGCCGAAGGACGGGCCTGCCCACTCTCTCTCAGGGAAAGGGTTTACCCAACACCCCAGTCTCTGCCTTTGCTTAGGCTCCATAAATGGCTTCCCTCTTGGGAAAAGCTCGCCTGCCCCAGAATTCCTCCCGCAGCCTGGTGACTCCATTCCATCCTGGCTCTGCCATTTCCTAGCACAGGGACCTCAAGCAAGTTATTTAAGCCCCTCTGTTCTTCAGTTTTCTCCTCTGTAAAAATGAGGGGAATATTTGGGCCCATCTCCTTCAGTTATTAAAAGGAATTAAAAAATAAAAATAAAAGGATTAAATGAGTCATGCAAAGCCTTTAGAATAGCCCAAACACACAGTAGGTATTTAAATGTGTTGACTGTTCTTATTTTTTTTCCTTCGTGTTTCTCTGCATCATGGTCTCATGAAAGTGGATCTCCCGAGGGACCACTTCTTTCCTTCCTACGGGAGCCCTGACACAGAAGAAGGTGACCTCCTCTGAGGCAGGGAGGAAGGAGGAAGGCACTACCAGGTACGAGAGAGTTCCAGTGAGGCGCTTTGGTTTCTTCACAGTTGTGCTCCAGCCTTGGTCTGGCTGCTTCCCATTCTCTGCTCAGATGATGGTCTTGGGAATGTCAGGCCCCACAGAGCTATTTGTAAAAAATGCACATACTCCTCCAGAAATGTAGATTCTACAAGGCAGCTGAGTCCTGCCCTGTGAGACGTCTTCAGAGGCTGGCTCACAGCCTCTTCAGTGCATACACTGTCTTGATCTTGCAAGCAAGCTAGGTCCCTAAGTGCCTCCCTGCACAGTTCACAGGGAGGCTTCTGGAAAAAGTGATCTGTATCCGTAGTTTCCAAATGCCAATCCCAGCTTGATCAGAATCACCCAGGAAGCAGATTCCTAGGCCCATCCACCACGGATTCTGATTCAGTGGGATTCAAGGGGACACGGGAATTTGTGTGCTTGTGTAAGCTGGTGGGGTCGTTTTATTGCGCAGCCATGTTTGGAACCAAACCCTTCTCCTTTCCCCTCATTGGCCCTTGTTATTGGGTTTCAGCTCTCACCTCACAGTTTGATGCTCCGCTACTTTTGAAGTGTGTACATAATCACCTTCCAGGGAGGAAGTCCAGTAGACCTTTAAAAATGCTGGGCCCATCTGATTTCTCTGAACTCTGTGACAGAGATGACAATGCTCCCCATCTTTGTGCCCTCTCTTGCCTTGGTTCTTGGGCCAGCACGGCTGGTGGTCTCTGACGGCTCCTTAGCCTTCTTTTAAGTGCTTCTCTTCTTACTGACTCTCCCTGTGAGCTCAGCCATACTCTTAACGTAATTTACAGCTATGTGCTCATGGCTTTCGGTTCTATTCCACTTCCAGCCCTCTACATTCATATACCTCACCATTCCACTGGACACTCCCAGTTGCAGCTTGTGGTGGAGACTGTTACCTGGTCCTTAGCATCCATTCTCTCCTTCTATTTAGGAATAGAACCTCCTGAGTTTAAGCTGGGCACATAAAGTCCATGTTTCAGCCTCCCTTGCGGCAAGCTATGGCCGCACGACTGGGGCTGAGCCCATGGGGTGCAGCGGGGGAGTGATGTGTTCAACGATGAGTCACCTTTTAAAAGACAAAGCTCCTGCCCTTTCCAGTGGTCACGGCAGCAGCTGGGGACCCACAGATAAGAGGCTTCACGTGAAAGAGGTCAGAGATTCAATCTCTTTTGACTTCAGTAAGAGGGAAATAAACATTTCTCTTATTTAAACTATGACTATTTGGGCTCTTTTTGTTATGGCAGCTTAGCCTATACTCTCATTAATACAATAAACACCTCAAACTAAAGAGTCTCAAACTAAAAACATCCTCTTCCTCCCGAGAACTAGGTAAAACTAGCTGATGATCCATCTCCCTCTTTAAAAGTAAATGACTGAGGGGCGCCTGGGTGGCTCAGTCAGTTGAACATCTGACTCTTGATTTTGGCTCAGGTCGTGATTTCAGGGTTGTGAGATCGAGCCCCATGTTGGGCTCTGCGCTGGGTGTGGAACCTGCTTAAGATTCTCTCTCTCTCTCTCTCCCTCTCCCCCTGCCCCTCCCCCCCCCGCTCGTGCACTCTCTCTCTCGCTCCAAAAAAAAAAAAAAAGAAGTAGATAATGGGGGACAAATACCTGAGGTCCCCAAAGAAGGCTAAATACCAGGCAGCAGGTGTCAGCAAATGGTAAGAGCCAGTTGTATTAAAACTTGTAAGCCCATTTGACCAAGGTCCCTCTGGCTGTTAAACGTACCTGCTCTTGGTTGAGCTGACAACAGACATGGGATGGTTGATGTCATCCTTCACCACCATAATGTTATTCTGGAGACAGAGCACAGAAAGCAGGTTGCCCTCCCCTCACACTTAAAACTCCTCGCTGCCCCCTACCACCTCCCCCACCACCCCACAGGCCCCTCAGAGAAGGAACACGCCACAGCAAAGAGATGGAGGACTCACTTTGTATTTGCGGAGTATTGAGGAGTGATTCATAATTCGGTCTGTGTCAGCTGCATCCCGGGGCACCACCACAATCCCAAAGTCCCCGACAATCACCTCCATCTGAAAAAACAAAGAGAGCGTCGTTTGGTGCATCCATGACTCCAACCCCTACTAAGCAACTACTTAGCAGGTGGAATGATCTTCCATGTGGAACCCCAAGCTCTGGTCCTAAGCTTGCCTTCTCAACCCTACCAGTCAGCTCTTTCAAGTAACAACCTGTAACAGTGTTAGTGGAATGAGTGGGAACTTTGCCTGGCACCACAGAAGATGCTTAATAAATACCTCTAGACTGAATGAAGAAATGTGCTCCTGCATGTCTAGGCATCTCCAATTCCTGAGGCTCCCACTGAGTTCATTATGCCGAAGAGTAATAGGAATGACACGTAGTCCTTACGTGGTAGACACCCTCACAGGCGACACAGGTCCCGTTGCCCAGCAAGTGTACCCCTACTCCCAGCCGGACTATTGAGAAGGGCTGAATGCTCCCTGGCTCACCCATGTCAAAGCTGCTGGGGACTCAAGGGTGATGAAGAGCATGGAAGGGCTTAGAACGCCTGTGTGCCCACAGGCAGTGATAGAAAGAATATCACTATGGGGTCACTTCTGAGATCAGCCTCTGATAAATGCTTGCTGCCCTAATGAGAAATGAAACCTTTTCATGAAGAAAAAATTATTTTTTCTGGTTATACACACAGTACAAGCTTGGGAAATTCAGGGGGAAAAAATCAATCACAACCGCACAATCTGGATAACTACTCTTAACATAGTGTGTTCTGTCCAGTGTTTCCTTCTTTATAAATAAGTGTATATACCTACAACTGGATTACACTGAAAAATTAATCATTTTATCTGTATTTTTTATTTAGTATTATACTGTATTTTTCACACTGTTAAAAATTACTTGAAAAAATTAAGTTTTAACAGTCTGATTATTTCATTGTCTGTACTATGATATACATGATATATTAAACCAACCTTGTATTATAGAATGTGTACAGTTACTTCTGATTTTTTGCAAGTATACATAACACTTTGTTGAAGATCTTTATATATAAATCTTTTGCCACATCTCTATTTCCTTAGGATAAGAAGTAAAATGATTAGATGAAAGGATATACACTGAACAGATTTCAAAATCTTAAGACCTATTACCAAGTTGCTTTCTGGAAACTCGGGCCAATTTTTATTTTCAAAAAGCTTGAAAGTTATGGCATTTAATAGACTTGGATCTCGCCCAGGCATATTACTGTTTCAATCTTGCCAATTAAGGATCCCAGATGCAGTGAAAAGGGAGGGGGAGACAGGTTGCTTCTAAGCAGGGCAGCTCATTGTGCAAGACCCACTCTGGTGGCAAGGGACCCAGGTTTTTCCTCCTAATAAGTGCCACAGAAACAGACATTAGGGAGCACTGTGGCCACCTCTTCTCTATCAGACAACTTCGATACGAGCAGAATTCCACTTCGCAGTCTGATTCATTGATTATGTTTGCATACGTATGTGTGTGCCCAAGCATGTGTGCACATGCCCTTGGGTATTTCCAGCCACCTTTCCCCTACTTCTCCCATTGCTTACAACTGGGGCTAGAGTTGCAGCTGGAACTCTGATGTTGCTGATACAGAAAGCTGGCTGAAGGTGCCCTGGGAGGGAAGCTGTGGAGAGAAGTTAGAAGCCAGGTATAGAATATCAGAGTCCCCATTGGATCATGCCATTTGGAAGAGACAGAGCATTATACCGCATGCTGCATCTGTCAGTAGTGCTCAGGTGGGGCAAACAGGCACCAAGCATTTGTCCTATAAACCAGGAATGTTAGGGAGAGGCAGGGCAAGGAGTTGGAGGTAAAGCCACTCCTCCTCCACAGCTTTAGAATATTGCACCGGTATTCACTACTCAGAAGGTAACCCGAGGCACTGGTTCTCAAACTTGGCTGCACACGAGAATCACCTGAGGAGCTTTTAACACTCAAAGCCCAACTCGTATCTAAGAGCAGTGAAAGTTAGAATCTCGGAGAATGGAACCCAGGCATCAATAGTTTGTCTAAATTTCCCAGGTGATTCCAATATGCAACCAGCTTGAGGACCAGGGGTCTAAGTACTGCTTAAAACTCCGGGGGAAGTGGTAGGGTGGAGAAAGAGAAAAGAGAAGGGGGAGGAGAGGAGAGGACGGGAGGGGGAAGAGGGGAGGGAATCTATCCAAGCTGGTACATACGAACATTCCTCAACTGCCTCTCTTGGTAGATGACTCAAGATACCTGGTGTACATGGCGTAATGTAGGATCTGCCTTCAATGTGATTCTGAGGACTTGGTAGATGTTCCATAAGCGATGAATGAACGAAGAGGGCTATTTAAAGTGAGCATTCTCAGTGAAAGCCTGAAAACAACGGTTCCGCCTGGAGTCCGGCCTCGCGGGGGATGTTACCCTACGGGGACACCCTATGGATGACATTAGTATAGCTGCTGCCTCCCACTCAGGAGCTATTATCTGAACACTCAATCAGTAACAGTGCCAGGTGGCTCAGTGGGTGGCAAGCAGATGGAGACCTTGCTGCCTGGGATGTTTTCTTTTTCCAGAAACAGGTGACAGACTTGCCCCCTGGGAATCACAGACGGAGCGAGGGAGACAGGGTCTACAGAACAAGACATACAGCTTAACCACATCCAAGCTGCACGTCTGTGGGAGTTCGGGTCAGAGACTGCAGATCTTTTCTGCTCCTTTGCCTAGACCCCAGGACACCGGGCTTGATTTTCATGCTAGAGGGTATCTGTGTGGGTGTGCGTCTGGGGGTGGGGAGAGATGCCATGTTCTAGAGGTGGTAAGGTGTGCCCTCCGTCCCATACGCATCCATCTCGTGCAGGGACTTAGCTGTCCTTCCCACCCCCACCCCCAAACCCCGTTTCCTGTCTTCGCCTGCCCCCCAGGAGACCACCCCTCTTGGTTTCCTCCTACCTCAGCAGCTGCAATTTTTGGTCTTCTTGTGCTGGTTCTTTCTCATGTCCCTAACCTTGACCCATTGGAGTCCCCCGGGCCTCAATCCTTGGACCTCTTCTTTTTTCTAGCTACACTCATACTCTTAATGATTTCACTCAATTTCAAAGCATTAGAGACAGACCGAAGGCTCCCAAATTAATACCTGGGGCATAACTTCTTTCCTGAACTTCAAACTCATATATCCAGCAGCCTTTTCAGTATGCCTATTTAGTGGGGCACCCCAAATCTAAAATGTCCATGGGCACCCAAACCCTCTGACATCAATCAATGAGTAAATCAGCCAATCCTCATAACCCGCAAATGCTTTTCCTATAGTCTTCCTGTAGTCTTTTTCATTTCAGGAAATGGAAACTCTCTTCTCACAATTACTCAGGTCAAAGCCTGGGAATTTTCCTGGACTCCTCCCTTTCTCTCACATCCCACATTCTACCTAAAAGGTACCCAATTGATTCCAGCTTCAAAACAAATCCAAGAATCTGCTCGTTTTTCACCATTTCCATCAAGTCTCTGCTGGTCCAAGCCTCCTTTGGTAGGTTAAATAATGGCCCCCAAAGATAACCAGGTCCTAATCTGTGGGACCTGTGAATGTTACCTTATATGGCAACATATATGCAGATGTGATTAAGCAAAGGATCTTGAAATTATCCTACATAATCTAGGTGAGCCCTAAGGTAATAACAAGTGTCCTTACAAGAGGGAGGCAGAGGGAGATTTAACACAGAAGAGAGAAGATAATGTAAAGACAGAGTAGAGAGAGATTTGAAGATGCTCCACTGTTGGCCTTGAAGATGGAAAGAAGGGTCATAAGCCAAGGAAGGCAAGCGATGCAGCTCTAGAAGCTGGAGAAGGTGAGGACACAGATTCTCCCCTGGAGCCTCTGGAGGGAATGTGGCCTTGCCAACAACTTGGGTCTTGGCCCAGTGAAACCTATTTTGGACCTCTGGCTTCCAGAAGTGTAAGAGAATAAATGTGTTTGTGTGTTGTTGTTGTTTTAAGATTTTATTTATTTATCTATTTGAGAGAGAGACAGAGAGCGAGCGAGCAGGGGGAGGGGCAAAGGGGGAGGGAAAGGCAGAGGGAGAGAGAATCTTGAGCAGACTCCGTGCTGAGCATGGAGCCCTATGCAGGGCTTGATCTTATGTCCCTAAGATCGTGACCTAAGCTGAAACCAAGAGTCAGAACCTTAACCAACTGAGCCACCCAGGCGCCCCTGTGTGTGGCCTTAAGCCACCAATCTTCAGCAACAGAAAATTAATTCATCCCCATCACCTCTCACTTGGATTACTCTGGTCTCCGTGTTTTTCTCTTGCCTTTTTTTCAGTCTATTCCCAACAGCCAGACCGAGTGTATTAAAATAGATTGTGCTGCTCCTTGGCTCAAAAGTCTTCACTTAAATGTCACCTTCTCAGTGAGACCAGGCTATTTCAACTTGTGTGGCCATGCACGCAGACCCACAGGCTATCCACACCTGCACTGTCCCTGCCCCTTCTTGGGTTTGCTGCTCCTCCTTAGCCTTTATGTCCATCTAATACCTTATATATTTTCTTTGTTCCACCTGATTTTTGTCTCTTTCTCTCTCTTCTATAAAGGTAACCTCCATGAGAACAGGGAACTGTGTGTTTGGTTTACCACTGTGTCCCCAGAGGAGAAGGACCTGGCGCCTCATACATGCTTAATAGGTGCTGTTGAAAAAGTAGATTCCTGCAGAGTTTTGTCTGGCAGCTGAGGCCGAGCCATTAGCTCATAAACTCTGTCTCAGGACCTGGCGACGAGCCCACAGTACCTCATGGGAGCTCTGGGAGACCCAAAGAAGTTACTCAAAAGATAGACTCTCAGGTCCTATGATAAGTTAAGGGTGAGCTTACTTTTGCAGGTTCCCACATTTGATCTGATTGGTGGGCAGAAGCACCTGGGGCAGCTTTAAAACCAATGACAAAAGTAGAGCCCCCAGACCTCACCCCAGGGATTTTGATCCAACATGTCTAGGATGGGCTGGAGCCTCTCTCTTCACAAAGCTCCCTAATCCTTCTGATGTGCACCAACCCCTGGGGAATTGATGCTTCACATCACATTG